CTTCCGGTACTTTACCACCGCATCAGAACTGTTGGATTTGCTGCTGGAGCGATTTGAGGCAGAGTCCAAGACATCGGCAACGCCCGCCGACAAAAACCAAGTCGATGTCATTCGCCTCCGCGTCGTTAACGTGCTCAAAAAGTGGATTACCAATCACTGGCATGATTTCTCCTCAAACCCAGAGATGCTCGCTCGTCTGCTTCAATTCCTCACGGGTCCCTTGAGCAGCTCCTCTCACGCCGGCTATGCTTCACAACTTACCTCCGCCATCGGGCAGAACAAGCAGAACGACTCTGTCCAGAAGGACACGTCTGCTGCAGGCTCGTTTGTGCCTTCTCTGGGCGCCCCGAGCGCAACCCTGCCTACGAGCGTCTCGCCGCGCAGCTCTTTCAGCTTTTTGCGAACTGTCCGCAACTCGACCACCATGTCGCCGTCTCCCTCCCTGTCGGTGCTCACTGGCCCTCCGCCCTCGTTCTCCTTCCTTGATTTGAACGTGAAGGACATTGTCGAGCAGCTGACGCTGGTCGAGCTGGGACGAATCAAGCGCATCACCGCGCACTCGCTGACTGGTCAAGCCTGGAACAAGTCCAGCCGCCCAGCTCACGCCGTTCCCGTCCTCGACGTTATCGAGCGCTTTAATCGCGTCTCCTTCTGGGTGGCGTCCGAAATCTGCGCGTGCGTCAACATTAAGGCGCGTGTCGAGATTCTCAAGCGCTGCATCAAGATTGCCGCCATGTGCCGCGACATTAAGAACTTTAACACGTGCTTGCAGTTTGTGGCAGCGCTCAACATTAGTGCTGTGCAGCGCCTCAAGCAGACGTGGAAGCAGCTGTCGACCAAGTACGCCTCGCTGTGGGTCGAGCTCAACCGACTCATGGACACGGCCAAGGGCTACACAAACTATCGCTCCCACTTGGCAAGCCTGACACTTCCCATTGTTCCGTACATTGGCATTCACCTGAACGATCTTACCCTGATCGAAGAGGGCAACCCGACCTTCCTCGAGGCCAATGGCATGCCCACCACGTCGACTACGTCTTCTCCTGGCAGCTCGGCTGCGACCACGCCGTCGCCCCAGGGTCCACCGTCCGCGACCTTGCCGGCATCTACAGCGTCATCTTCGTCGGCAGCGCCCAGCTTGCGCAAGTCTAGCAGTCGCGATCGCGTGGAGGCCACATCGCCGCGCACACCCGCTGAAGCCCACCTCACCCCTCTTGCTGCACAAGCGGCTGTGGGACTGGCGAGTAGCCGCGGCTCGCTCGCCTTCTACAAGGAGCCCGCTGGCGTCACGCCCATCGTCAACTTTAAAAAGATGGCCATGATTGCTCAAGTTATCCGTGTTGTTGAGTGGTATCAAACGTCCGAGTACGAGTTTGTGGCCTACCCCGAGCTGCAGTACTGGCTGGTGCACGGCATCAACGTGTGGGACGTCAATCGTCTGTACAAGGAGTCGTTAATTTGCGAACCCCGCGTGTCCGATCTGCCCTCGACGGCTGCCGGCGACTTGGCATCTGGAGATGGCAAACCCAAACGCCGCAACAAGTTCATGTCGACGCGCGGAACGTCACCTCGCGACAGCACGGGCTCTCTCACAGTGTCCCCTTCTCTCAGTGCCAGTAACAGCGCATCGATGGTCGGCGCGGCAAACAACAGCGCGCCAGTGCCGTCGTCGTCGCCCTCGTTGGCGTCGTTGTTGTCGTCGTCGTCGTCGGACAACAAACCCAAGAAGCGGAGCATTTTTGGATCGCGGCGGGCGTCTTCGTCGGACGAGTCTAGCAGCATTTCTGCCGCACAAGTCGCGTTGCAGTTAGAAGGGTTGGGAGACTCATCCTCTGTTTCGTCGATGACTGGCTCCGTCGACCAGTCTGCCGCCCTCGAAGTCCGCATGGCGCAGCTTCGTCTCGTTCAAGAGACGACTGAAGCGCAGCTCCACGACCTTCAGCACGCCAACGAGATTCTGCTGCGACGTGTCGAGGAACTCGAGCGGACCCATGTTGCAGCCCACACTCGCGAGGTTGGGCTCCTCGCGCGAATTGAAGCCCTTGAGGCCGACGCCGCTCAAAAGACTGTCAAGAAACCTGTGCAGGCTTAATCGCGTTGTCTCCTTTGTCTCATTCTTTTGGTTTTTTTCTGTGCCGCTGTAGTATTTCGAGGCCGTGATGATAGGGATAAAGCGCCATGCTTTGATTTGATTTGCAAGCACCGTGTGTCTGTGCGTAGTTTGAGCCGACTTCCTGGGCTTGTTCTTGTGCTTTTAGAATAGTTTGTTTCTTACCGTTTCCAACCCAGCACTTCAAACCAGCAAACGCAACAACGATCGCAAAACGGGAGGGGAGGGTTTTGTTTCAGGGTGTATTCAAATCAAACATTGCAACTGTGTTGGTGCGTCATTACTCGAGTTGGTCGGCAGGGGCGGATTGTTGGCCGTAGCTCTGCAGCCGCAAAAACCGGAAACGAGTAGTCAGTGGCTGCTCTCAAACCCTTGCACTGACGCTCAATCGACAAACACTGTTCTCGTGGCGCGCCAACACTACTCACAGGATCAAGCTCCAAAATCAAGTTGCGGAAGACGGCCGGAGGCAGCGACTGCTGGAAGACTTGAAGCATCTGAGTGGGTTGCTGGCAGACGCGGATGGCGTTTGCAAAGTGCTTGACGCACTGGCCAAAGTTACCTAGCGACAATCCAAGTACACATCCAATCCATGGAGAATTGTCGGTGACACAAAAAGTGAGCTTGTCTGAGATGCAAAGTCCGTAGTGAACCGGGATTGCAGCAAAAAAACAGTCAGTTTACCGGCAGTGAGGGTGTCCTCGCCGAGACGCATCTGCTCGACGAAATAAGCTTGAAGGGCCTCGCGATCGTTCATATCGGGCACTGGTGCATGAGCAGCACGACGGGCGGCCTTGCGCTCTTCGCGGCGACCTAAACGACAAAAAGTCAAAGGTCAGGAACACAACCGCCTCGCTCATTGGTCCGAGCACACACACACACACACACACAAGCACTGAACATTTGTCATTGTGATTGCCAATTGAGGCAGGAATGGCCGTATTGCAAGGATGACGGTTTTGTGATTGCGTCGGAACTCGAGCAATGCTTCCCCCACATGTGTGTGCCAAGACACAAGCCAAATGGTCTCCCACTCATTCTCCCCTCGACCGTCCTGAACACCCGACGCTAGCCCCCAAAAAACAAACCACAACAAGCGTGGCAATGGGTTTTATCATGACGCTTGACGCGCCGCGGCGGACCACGGCTGGAGTCGGAGATGGCGATCGAGATCTCGCCTTCTCCTTGTACTCTGTCTCTGTCTCCCTGTCTCCCTCTCCTTCTGTCTATCTCCCTGTGATCAACGGATATCGACATACGCGCAATGAGCTTCTCGCGGTAGTCGGGAGCGTTTCGTCGCTGGTGGTCAAAGTAGACGAGGTAAGCCACGAGCGCGCTCGCGGTGGTCGCTGCAACAATAGTGCTCAGACTCATGACGTGAAATAGAGGAGTGGAGCGGAATTCTTGCATTTGCATGAACAGCGAATTTTTTTCGTCAAGCAAGAATGGAGGATGTTCAACGAGCATACAAAATGTCATAGTGACCGGGTCGGTACAACAGACTCACGGTCGGTGCAGCGGTACCTTCCTCTTGAAAGTTAATCTCGGTGGCCTGCGACGTCGAATCCGAACTGTCCGTGTATACAACGCGCACGGGGACGTCCAGCGCGGCAGACAGCGCGACAATATGCACCTGCTCACACTCGCGCGCCATCACCTCGACTTCGCGCGCACAAAACTCGGAGACGGTCAGGCCGTCCTCGATAAAGCCTTGGAAAAACTCGGCGTTGGTCTTGAAGTGCCCGGCAGTCAGCAAGCGCAGGTAGTACACAACGGCAGAAGCGACGGGGTCGTCTCGGAAGATGGCGAGCAAGTTGGACTCGCGCAGGGCGCGCTCTTGCGCAGTCAGCGGCCACGGAAGCTGCTTGGGCGGCTCGCTGTTGGCATCCTGCTGGACTGGCACGGGAATTCCAGTCGAATAGTCATATGCCGCTGGGGGTTTTGGGAAGCCGGTTGCCAGCGCAATCACCTCGACGTACGAGTCGTAAAAGTCCTCGATTGTGTACTCTGTGTAGCCCTGCGCGACCAGGAGTGCCTTCGATGCAACTGCCTGCTGGTACAACTTGCGCGCCTGCTCCTCCGTGCCACGGTGCAGGATTTGCTGCAACAAGGCGAAGCCGAACGCTCGGTAAAAGCAATTGCCATCGCCGCGCACTCGTCGGAACGAGTCGTACTTGCTTGTGACGTCCTAGCGATTTAACAGAGACGTACAAAACAAAACAAGACAACGCAAGATACACAAGGCAATTGTGGATCAAATGTCATGAATGAACGGCAGCAACAAGGTGCAAGCAAATCTCGCTGATCTTGTCAAATGGCAAAGACACGACGACCACACATGCAACGCCTCAGCAAAGTACCTTGAGCTTGTCGCGGAAGGCGTCCTTGTTCTCCTTGTACTCGTCGAGCAGGACGGATGTCGGCAGTGGGTCGCTGACGAGCTCGGACGACGCAGCAATCTCGTCTCGAACGCGCTCCTCCTGTTGTCCCAACCAAAGGGGGGGGGGTCACAAAGGGCAAACAAAGAGAACAAGACATCAAACGGAATGAGTGCAGAGTTCACTCTGATGCAGGTCGAACAAGATGGTCAATGGTCAATGTTACTCAACCTGAGCGATGACATCAAAGTCAGAGTAAGCTGAAGACGCCATTGTCAATCTTCAAAATGGACACGATTGAAATAACGAAGAGTGAGACACCTTGTATTGAAGCTCCATAGGAATTTATAAAATGGATGAATGTGAGGCCATGACTGGCGATCGACAAAGACAAAATGGAGCCGTGTTCTTGAATCAAACGAAAGCCTGCCTGGTTCAAACACTCTCAATGTGCAATTGCTTGTACCCCCATTTCACTATCTTGTGAGTGTCACGTCGTCGTCGACCATACTGTAATGAGACTCGCAGGTCTGTTTTTGCTGAGAAGAGATTCAGATCTGCCCGCCACAACGGTTCACTTCGATCCATTGCACTTGTTCTGCCAATCTACTGGACATACAAACTGAGCAGCAGCCATTCCTTCTTTTTCTTTTATTCTTTCATTCTTTCATTTTTTTCTTTGTTTTCAGACAAACGATGCCAGCAGCAGACACGCATGGATTGACTGCGATTGAGCTGGCAGACAAGCTCTTCCGGCTTGACGGGTTCAAGCACGGCGATGTTGCCGAGCACATTAACAAGCCGTAAGGGAGGAAGCATTTTGACGTTGTCGCTCTTGTCCTTTCCTCTGGTGGGGATGGGGAGGGGGGAAGGGTCAAGTGAAGCGCTCGCAGGGGAAAGGAAGAGAAGGAGGATCACGCTTTCAGCCGTCTCCCCCCCCCCGTCTCACGCTGGGACCGAGCGCGGAGTGGGGATGGGGATGCGGGTGTGATTGAACTTAGCTCTGCTGGCAGTGGATTGCTGTTTGCCCATCGGCGCATCAGTGGAAGTGGGAGCACTGGATGAAAAAAGTCCAGCTATTTGAAACTCGAAGGGCAACGAACCACTCCCCAACGACACCAGCAACCGCGGCCAACCACCATTTGCTTTGAGGGAAGAGAGGGGATCAGCATGGCCGTAATGCGCCAGTGCCGGCGTTGGGAACAGAAACGAGGTCGAGGTGCGAATATTCCCGCATTCTCGTTGTTGTGGATTCGGAGCATTGGATGCGGGGTTGTGATGGGGTTTGGTGCTCAGCGTCCGTTAGTGTCATAGAGCGGATGGAGAGGACGTGGGATGATTTAATCTGTGGCCGGAAAGCGCGTTGGCTGTGAGCGCAAGAGAAGCTGAAATCCGACGTACTATGTATTCATTCGCATTGCCAGTTTCGTTCTTGATCGTGATTACCACGCTAACACTTGAGATTGGATGGATGCCCGGTTGACGAAACCCTGCCTGACATGACTTTTTCACCTCTCACCATCAATTCTGATTTAAACTGGACACGCTGGTTTCTTTGTTTGGCAGAACTCGCTTTTCCAAGGATGTGGCAAAAGAGTACCTCCGCCACTTTGCGTTCGCAGGCCAGCCCCTTGATATCAGCATGCGGTAGGAGAAGTCTCCCTTTTAGAGAGTAAAAATGGCATCTCGTGGTCGGTTGCAGGTTTTCTAATCTGAGCTATTTTTTTGATTCATCTGGGGACAGTCAATTCTTCAAGGCATTCAGCTTGAAAGGCGAGACCCAGGAGCGCGAGCGAATTCTGACTGCATTTGCAGAGCGCTACCATGAAGAAAACCCCGCCAATTTCAGCTCGGCAGGTGAGAACGGGTTTTTTTGCTGGAACTGCTGTTTGTCGAGACGATTATTCTGACCTTGTCCCGTTTGGATGTGCAGCGTCGGTCGATGCACTTGTCTGCGCCCTCGTGCTGTTGAACACAGACTTGCATAACGCACATGTGGAGAAGAAGATGACACTTCCCGCCTTCCTCAAGTACACTGTGGGCATGAATGGCGGGAGCGAGTTTCCCCAAGATGTTCTGAAGGTCAGTGACAAACCGCCGTGGATGCGAATAGGCGGGATTGTTTCGATGTATTTCATTGCCTACAGCCAAGCTCACGCTCCCTCACTCTGTCCAATCAGGCACTATACAAAAGCATCAAGGCGGATGAAATTGAAATGCCCGATCACGAGCGCGAGGAGGCCAAGCTCCTGATCCAGCAGCAGTTGCAGCAAGCACAACAGCTTTCTCAATCAGACAAGAAGGCGCGGTTTTGGAGTCGTCGAACGGGAGATGCGGTGCGTGGAGTTTTCGAATTGGGAAATCTGATTCTTTTGGGAAAGTGTTTGTTCGCTACTCACTCTTCGAGTTTGTTGCAGAACTTGAACGCAAGTCTGCCGAACGATCTTGATAGCACCGGCAAAGATTCGGGCATGCTGCGATCATCGTCCATGCCGGTAATGCGTCTGAGCGGGGTTTTTGCCAGTTGGTGTGGCTCCACTGCTTCTCATTGCTGAGTGCCTTGTGCCAATCGCTGTTGTATTCAGAACGATGAACTTGCACTGGTGAAGGAATCCATTGTGGAACGAAAGGTCGAGACGGAGTCGTACGGCAAGAAAGCCTCGGATCGATCCTGGAAGACTTATCATATTGCGCTGCGAGGTCACACGTTGTTCTTTTACAAGTCTGGCGCCAATTTCTCCCGGGTAGGATTTTTCTGCGATGGTGGGAGTCGGGAGTAGTGTCTGCGAGCTGGCTCTGACTTGAAACGATTTTCGACAGAACTTGGCCTTGCCCGCCGAGGATTCCTTCTCATTGGTGCACTCGTACGCTGCACCAGCGACCGAATACACAAAGCGCGAGCACGTTATGCAACTGACCACACACATTTACGGCACTCAGCTTATTCAGTGCAAAGACAGTGCTGACATGCTCGACTGGGTTGGCATCATCAACCGAACTGCCGCACTCCTCTCCACGGCTCCCCTAGCTGCTCCTGTCGGGTCTCAGCTTATCTACCATCGCCCTCTCCAGCCCACCAAGCCTAGCACTGCGTCCATTGTAAGTTCTTTGCCCGTTTTCTGCCGTTTCTCTGATTTTTTTGTTGTTGTTGTTGTTGTTCGTTCGTTCGTTCGTACTTGTATTCTGACTGCAATCCCTTTTCTTTTTGTTTCCCGTTTGTTTCTACCATGGTCTTAGCCCGAGCAATACGAGTTCTTGCGATCACACATTGAGTCACAGGTCAAGGAACTGGCAGAACACAATGCAGAGAAGGATGAGATTTGGGCATTGGAGGACAACAAGCAACGCCATCGCCAGAATTGGACAAAGAAGCTCGAATTCCTGACCTATGAGCTTGAGCGCTACCGTCTGTATGCCAAAGTCCTCCAAAGCCAGCTTGGAGTGTCGCCGAGCGCGTCCAAGCGATCTTCGCTCATCAGCCCCGTCACCAAGCGAGCCGCAGACGCATCGCCATTGCGCGAACGTGCCATGCAGAACGCGGCGGCGGCGGCGGCTGCACGAGCATCGCCGAATGGCTCCCCACACACGTCGCCCCTGCTACCGCGCGCACTCACGATCGTCGGCGCCGCTGCTCCGAAGGCAGCCACCAACGGACAACCTGCCACTGACGACGACGATGATGCTGATGTCGTTGCTCGCCCAGAGAAGGGCAAAGGCAGGGCCAAGGTGCAAGACTTTGACGAGCCAGCTGCCCCACGTCATCCCGGCGATTTCCAGGCCAGTGCGTTGCGATTTTCGGGCCGCAGCGACAGCTATCGTGAAGCTCTCAACGAGCTATCTGTTTAAGCGCGCGATGATACGGTATCGTACTCTCCGTCGTTCGTGGAGAGAGATGAATTTCAGAAAGTTTTGGTTTATGGTTTGTTTTCGTCCTTTTTTTTTTTTTTTTTTTTTATTGATTTTTTTTTCTCTTCGTCCGCCATTGTAGCATTGTCATGTTGGGTTTTTCTTTGAAGCGTTTACCATGTCATGGTTTTGCATTTGTGCTGTAGTACCAGTGCGAAGACAGGATTTTCAGGATTTTAAGACAACTTGTTGCAACGCCATTGATATGATAATGTACTTTCCCCAGCTCGCTCCCTTCCTCCCGTTCATGTCCGTCATTCTATTTCTTCATACGCTCTACTCCATTGATTGATTGCGAACATTGACCAGTCCTAATCTGCAACTCCTTTTACTTCTTCACAAATGGCAGCACCGCCGTCATCGTCCGCCGCTTCAGCGCCCGGCTCGTCCTCAGAGTTTGGCAACCCCATGCGGAAATTCAAGCTCGTCTTCCTCGGCGAGCAGAGCGGTGAGTTTGCTTTGTTGTCGTTCCTTGCGAGTGACTTTGGGACGTGAGAGTGGTCCAAGTCCGAGAGTGGAAGGGAGAGAGCGAGATAGAGTGGAGAGAGAGGACTGCAGTTCCTACTTGACGCGAGAGGGAGCTTCAACGCAGAGTGGCGTTCCAGACTGAGTGTTTGCTAGCAGCATCAACGACAGCACTTTCATGTGGCTTGTGCTGTGGATGTGCTGTGAGTGTGCTGTGGCTGTCAATGAGTGAGTATGTGTGTGTGTGTGTGGGTGCCTTCGTGGCTTGTCGTTTGGGTCCCTTTCCCGCTTCTTTCTTGTGACTTTGACTCGCTCGTCGCTTTGATAGCGATAATTGCAATGCCTTTTGTTGCAGAGTTCGCTTCCCTCCCATTTCTCAACAGTCCAAAGTCAGTCTCGCAGCTCTGCGTTGCTGGGTTGCCTTCTCGTTTTTGCTCGTTCAACGACAACGAAGCCTTTTTTTTTTTTTTTTTTTTTTTTTTTTTTTTTTTTTTTTTTGAGGGATCTTTGAATTGAGATTCGCCTCTGCAGCGTTTCGTGAGCCCTTTTGACTGTTGAGGCTGTTGAGGCTTGTTACTGTTGCTGTTGCTGTTGCTTGGGGGGGGGGCGTCTTTCTTGCCACTCTGACGAAATCTGACTTACCTGTGCTTGGTACTTACTTTGACAGTGGGCAAGACGTCGCTCATCACTCGGTTCATGTACGACTCGTTCGACAGCACTTACCAGGTAAGCCCCTTCATTCGATGATGATGATGACGATGGTAATCATTCTACTTGTCAGCGTCATGTGGATTCATTCCAAACGCTGGCAAAATGCGATTGTGTGCCTCGCTGTCGAGCGACTTTATCCTTCCGCGAGTGTGTCATAGTGTGCTCGCGTTGTCGCTCATTTTTTTGCACTCCACGATACCTCTGATGTCTTGTCCTTGGTGTCACAAAAATAACTTAGGCCACGATCGGAATCGACTTTTTGTCAAAGACCATGTATCTCGAGGACCGAACTGTGCGGCTGCAGCTGTGGGACACGGCGGGCCAGGAGCGCTTCCGCTCGCTCATCCCTAGCTACATTCGCGACTCGTCCGTGGCCGTGGTTGTTTATGACATTACAAGTAAGCGCCAAGACAGCTCAGTTGCCTCCGTCCGAATCAAAAGTCGACAGCACCACTCACTCACCTGCTGACTGACCTCCCTCTGTTCAGACCGAAATTCGTTCCAACAAACTACAAAGTGGATTGATGACGTGCGAGCCGAGCGCGGCAACGACGTGATCATCATGCTGGTAGGCAACAAGACTGATTTGGGCGACAAGCGACAAGTTTCCATCGAAGAAGGCGAGGCCAAGTCCAAGGAGCTCAACGTCATGTTCATCGAGACTAGTGCTAAGGCTGGCTACAATGTCAAGCAGCTTTTCCGACGTGTCGCCGCCGCATTGCCCGGCATGGAAGCCTCGCCCGATAAGCCCAACAAGGACGACTGTGAGTTTGTGACTTTTTGTTGTTTTTGGCTCTTTGACAAGGCTCACTGAATGCACCCCCCGTCCCTCCCCTCGTACAGTGGTCGATGTCAAACTTACAGAAACAACGCCAGCGGCCGCCGCTCCAGCAGGCATGTGCGGAGCATGCTAAAACCAAACGAGTTTTGGAAACACAACCAACCGCTCCTTTTTTTTCTTTTTTTTCTGTCTTTGTTTTTTCGAGTTTCCGTGTCTATTCTGTGCTATTAATCATTGTTGTCTGTTTCATGTTTTGTTGGTGAATGAATGCGTGTGGCATTCTTGTTTCGATTACAAATACTTTGTGATTTTGTCTTTGCTGCTGCTGCTGCTGCTGCTGCTGCTGCTGCTGCTGCTGCTGCTGCTGCTGCTGCTGCTGCTGCTGCTGCTGCTCTCTTCCATTCCAAGGCCAGAATCGGCACTATTTGTTTGAAGAAAACAACAAGAAGAAAAATTGATAGATTGGTACAACCCGCAAACTGCAAATGCGGACAACAGCAATGAACAAACAGAAAAGACTGGGATTTTGTAAATGTTTCACGTCATCGTCCCTTTTCTTTTTCCTTTTTCTTTTTCAGCAAAAGCCACAGCAACGAGCGCAAGCGCACGACGTTGACTCTCCGGCTGCCATTGCGAACCCGTCGCATGTCTACCGCCGAGAAGAAAGGAACACCAACAGAAAACCACAAAAACCCAAATAGCTTCATTTCTTGATTTATGTCTGTTGCAGAAAAGTCCACAAAATCCGCATTGTCCAAGAATCAGTCTCAAATGAACTCGTCACACAGAAACAGGAACCAAAACCAAAACCCAGCTTCTTTCGTCAGCGTTCAGTACTTACACCGTCGTCTTCGTACTCGTCGTTGGCATAGGCGTTTGAATTGCTATATGGCGTTTGGGGCTGGTACTCTTGGAGCGCACGGCGTGCCGATTGGACAATCTCTTCGGAATACGCTTCGCCACCCTCGTACACGGGCTCTGTTGTGAGGTGTGCAGGCTCGTCGGGCAGAACGCTTGCGAGGTCCTTGGTCGCGCTAAACACTAAAACCATCTTCTCTGCCATCTCAATATAGGCGTTTGCAACGTTGCTCAAGCCCTCCTTGATCTTGGCCACCTTGATGATTTCGCACTCGCGGTACTTTTCCTGGAACTCGGCCTCGGCCACGTCGTTCGCCTGCTCGGCAGCGATAATTTCCGACTCTACCGTCGAGACCTTGCCGTAGTCGCCCTTTCGGTTGTATCGCTCAAGATCACGGTGCAGCTTTTGCAGCTTGGTCGCGCAGTCGTCGCGATGCTTGCGCGCGCGATCGAGTGTCTTTTCGCTGTCGCGGACGGCCTTGAAGCATCGGCGGTAGTCTTCGTAGCGATCTGCGAAGCAGGAAGTAGGCGAGCATGCACAGGCCATTCGAGCCAGGAGGAAGGTGAGCAAAAAAAGGTTGTGGATGTTGTACAATGTTTCAGCAAACGCACCAGAGAATTCCTTCTGAACAGCATTGTGCTCGTTGTCCAGCTCAGCGAGGCGTGCAAAGATGTCACGAATGGCTGGGTTGTCTTCTTGCGTTGTCCACTTGACCAGTGCGGTGGCCGCTGTGCGTAGCGATACAAAGTGTTCCAAGATCAAAATGCGAGAATGTCAGTACAATTGCTCTCCAATCCCCCCAAATCTGAGAGTGCCAAAACCCGATGGCATGCACCAAATCATTCTCATTCAAAGTAACGATTCAACCGAGCTTTCTTGTGGTCGGGGTTTGGGTGAAGTGTTTGGCGAAAGGAAGAAGCGAAGGCAACTGTAAAGAAAGAAAAAAAAAAAAAAAAAAAACACCAAGCAAACCACAGTCGAGTTTTGGTGGTTTCGCTTTGTCGCGTGTCTCGCACACCCTGGGCGTCCGTGTTTGTGAACCAGCCCACGAAACGAGCACAACAGCCAAATGAGGGTGTGATGGTGGTTGGTGGTGGTTGGTGGTCGGTGTCGACAATGCAAGTGAATTGACGACGACGCTGACATGAGAGAACCATCAAAAAACCACATAAAATAAAATAAAACAAAATAAAATAAAAATAAAAATAAAATAAAATCAAAAGAAGCCCCAAAGAGTCCTTTGATTGAGCTCGGATCTCGCGTCCGTTTGGGTCGAGCTTCCGAGTAGAACTTTGACCCCCACAAAACAAGCTTGTTGTTGTGTTTCTACTTGATGGGCTTGGGAGGGAAGGGCCAACAGTCAACGATCAACAAGCCCAGAGAGTTGCTGCTTTTTTTTTTTTTTTAATGTTGGTTGTTTTGGTTTTTCTTCTTGTTTTTTTGTGTGCGTGCTCTTCCTCTGCGCTTGTGCTGCGTCGCCACATCCATGGAGCACTGCATCCATGGACGATGTACACCGAAGAAGCACACGAGCAAACGGGAGGAGCGCAGGGGAGGAACGCGCAGAAGATGCGTGTTCGAAAAGTTGTTCCCATCATCGTTGTTGTCGTTGTCATCGTCGCTGCTCGCACCTGCAGTTCGCGCCTTGGCCAGATTGACAAGACCGCTGTGGACGGCCTTCTCGTCCGAGATGGCGAGGTTGAGGTCGGAGTGGCCGACACCAAGGCTCTTGGTGAGCACGTAGCCACGTCGCATCATATCCATCTTTGCAGAGTTTTTTTTGTGTGTTCGTGGAATCAAAGAATTGTGTGACTGAACAACGAAACGTTTGCGGTGTTCATGTTCATGGTCACATTGCAAAATCATACACAAACAATCAACAACAAAGAATAATACCTCAGCAACAATCACCAACAAAAAACAATAGCGCACAAAATGTCTCAATTGCACATGTCGAAATCGTCCTCGTCGGAGCCGTCATCCGAGTCGACAGCCATGGAATCGAGACTCAGACTATTGATGCGCGAGTCCTCAATGACGTCGAATAGACCATACCCACGGAATTGAGACGTAATCTGCAGAAAAAGACGAATCATTTGTCATTGGTTGAATTTTGTTTGGGCAGCTTTTGCATCAAACTCCTTCAAACCGCCGACGCACCACCTCCATGCACACAACGTCTCACCTGCTTGGAACGCTTGCCAAGGTCCTCAAGCTCAGCGACAGAGGAGCACAAGTAGGCCGCGCACATCGAAGGATCAACATCCGAAATGGCCATCTTTGACAAGACCGCAACAGAAAACGACTCTACTGTGTCGGGCGTAAGCTCCATGGCGGCATCTTGGACGACGTGCGGGTCAAGATACAACACGTTCTCGTTCACCGTGCCGACGAAAAAGTGTGCAGCGTTTGGCTTGCCCCCGATAATGCCCAAACATTGAGGAAGCTCAAGGGTTGCCTGTTGTTTGCAATGGTACAGCACACGAGGGTGAGAAACGGAGAATGATAGGAAAAGAGCATGTGAGGGGGAGAGGTCAAAAAAAGTGAAGAAGCAACAGAGGAGAAACCAAAAAACAGGCAGCTCTCTGTGCTCTGTACCTTGAGTGCTGGGATGTACACAGGGTTGATGGACTGATTGAGGCCCAAACGAATGGGCACGAGAACAAGGAGGGAGTGCTTTTTGCCGTCGGAGAGGGCGGCTGCCAGTTGAGTGGATGCTTCAGTTCGATTGAGCACACCATCCATCGCACAATGTACAATTAGGCTTGATCGCTGAGAATTGACAAGGTTTCTAAGTCATCCAAATTTTGCCACAAGGTGAGGGGTGGGGGTGGCAAAGGAACATTGAGGAGAGCAAAAACGCAGTGCAGGATGGACATCATAACTCCATCGCGAGAGACCGACACACTCCCTCGAGCGACACGTCGCCTTCACAGACTTTCACCATCCCAGACACTGGCTCAAGCGAAAAAAAAGGAATCAACAATTGTGTGCACCTACTTTAAAACTTGGGCAACAGTGTTTGGACCAAACCACTGGCCGATAGTCTTGCCCAGTGCTTCACCGCGCTCTGCAATTCGGTGGATTGAAAATGGAGCAGCTGGAGTATCAAAGAAGAGCGGAAGAAACTGCCACACGCAAGTCGAACACGAGTTTGGTCAGTCTCGCCCAAATTTGAGAGTGATTCCGAAAACACAACCGAAACAGGCACTCAGCCCTCACCCTGGCCATCTCTTGGTGTCGTTGTTTTCGAGATGTTGGAGCCCAATCTGCACCGCGCATATCAAACAGCCCAGACCACGGTGAGTCTTTCACTTGTTCAAGTTGTAACCAAAAACAATCGGCGTTTTTTTGGAAACGCAACTCTTTCCGAGGTGCTGCACGGTCATGGCACGAGCAAGAAGCATCTGTCCACATCGCAGCATGCAGCCCCAGCCAGCGTCCGTGTTGTAGTAGCTGTCGGCAATCTGCGCAAAGTGGTTGCGGTAGGTCATCCATGGGAAGGACCGAACGGCGTGCTCCAGCGCCTGCTCGTCTGTGGTTCAAAGTCAGGTATCAAAACAAAACGAGATCAGCATTTTGGATTGAGACGACGATTGCATCAGTCGGTTGAGAGTAAAAGGCGAAGGCGAAGGCGAAGGCGGAAGGGTTTCCAGATTGTCTCTGTCATCATTGAGCAACAAGCGCTTGGCTGTTCCAACAAGGCGAGCGAATGACGGTCATCGTGGATGAGGGCGTCGTATTGCATGTGCAGAATGAGTGAATGACGGATGAGGGGGCCAGGGAACAACCAGAGACCCCTCGTCATCAGCGAGAGACAGAGACAGAGACAGAGACAGAGAGAAACAGCTTGCTGCGACGGTGAAAGCGAGCACAGTCACGCCAATTTCTCCAAAGGGGGGGGGGGCAGACGTTCAGCTCGAACGCTGCTCAAATCGTAGTGGAGAAGGGGGGGGGAATGGCGGGGAAGGAGAGCGAGAGAAGGCGGGGAAGGAAACTACGACGCCAAACCTGCTGGAAGCTGAAATTTGTGCCCATTCACAGTGACGAGCGGACCCGTCGTGTTGTGCGACATTGTGGATTTGTTCAACTGAAAAAAAAAATGAAGAGTGAATCTGGTTTGTTGAGCAACGGGAAGAGAGAATAGTGAATGCAATGCTCAGCTTTTGAATTTCGCTCCATTTCACTGCCAGAGTACTGTTGTAATCCTCCTGTTGGCTGTTCATCATGTTTGAGTTTCATTTCGATTTAGTGCTCTTATTTCTCATTTTTTTGTGCAGAATGGTAATACAATCAAATGCAAACAACAACAGAAAGAAGTAAAGGGAGGTTGTGCTGAACGAGAGGATTGGAACCCATTCAAAAGCTGTCTCTCTCCTTCCCCCCCCCCGTCATCCGCTTGATCATTCGAATGCAGGGGAATGGAACGATGGCAGCCACACATCGAACGAGAGCGCGCGAGTGAGTGAAGCGATGAGGTCGTCAAAACGCAATGGGAAAGCCGTTTGGGAGCCTTTCTACTCTTTCTTTGGGCTCGTCTCGAGGGGGGAGGGGAAGCTTCGTGGCGCTCCCAACCACAGGCAGTTCAGGTCCGAGTATCTCTCGGCGCCCTTGTCGCAGGGGGAAACCGCCGCCCCAATCTGGAGCAGACGAAAGCTGCAGTTTGGCAAAAAAACAAGCAGATCTCAACCTGTCTCTCACTCTCTCTCTCTCTCTCTTTGTCTCTGCTGATCACCATCACTCACTCACAATGTCGTGTTATGTGACTGCGCCTGTCTCTCCTTTTGTTGTCGCTTGTGGTGAGCGGGTTTTGCTCAAGTCCAACTCACCCATCCCGCTCTGCTTTCACAGATTCAATTTGTGCTCTTGTTCAGCCGCCAAGGCAAGGTGCGCTTGCAAAAGTGGTTCTCGGCCTTCTCGCAGAAGGACAAGAAGAAAATCACCCGCGAAATGACGTCGACCATCCTCGCGCGAAAGCCCAAAATGTGCAACTTTCTCGAGTGGAAGGAATTCAAGATTGTCTACAAACGGTGAGGGTGCACCCAGTACTTTGTTGCAGAGGAGGCAGCCAAGTGTGTGTCTGTGTGTGTCTGTGGTATTGATTTGGAAAGGAAAGGGCAAGCGGACGAGCGCGACGAGACACTCACGGTTCCAAAAACGATTGCTTTGGCTTTTGTGCTCAATCAACTCGTAGCTATGCAAGCCTATTTTTCGCTTGCGCGATCGATCCCAACGACAACGAGCTGATTGCACTTGAAATCATTCATCGATATGTCGAGCTTCTCGACAAGTATTTTGGTAGCGTGTGCGAGCTGGACATTATCTTCAACTTTGAGAAGGCGTACTTTGTGCTCGACGAGCTCATCATTAACGGCGAACTGCAAGAGTCGTCTCGAAAGAGCGTACTCAAGTCAGCAGCAACACAAGACCAACTGCAAGAAGAAAACGAAGGCATGGGAAACCCGATAGATGACTTGATCGGCATTCCCAAGTAAAGCCTCGGCGCCTTTTTCCCCCTCTTGTTTATTATTTGATGTGTGCTTTTTGGGATGTTGTGGTCGTGTGCAAAGCGAATGTGTGTGTTTGCTTTTGGGAGTCATGGAGACGCTTCGTTTCCGTTTCCATCACCCACGACGAGCTGTGAAGTTGTCAATGTGTCGTTGTATTTTTGTTGTTGTTGTTGTTGTTGTTGTTGTTGCTCGGCTGTCTTGTCGTGTTGAATTCAAGTACATTTGCACAGACGCAGTTCAGCCTCGTCTCTGATTTGGAGCATGCGAATCCTTGAAAAGTGCAGTCTCGTTTCACTCTGTACTTGTTCCCCCGAAAGTCTCTGTTCTGCTTTCCTGAAATCTGCCACTCTTCGGACACCCCTGCCTGTACTTGAGTGCGCAGAATCCACTGGACTCGCACGCGCCAACGCGCAATGTGGGGCACGCGTCACAGTACCCGAGTCCGAATCGCCGTCATTCTGGTTGCAGCCTTCTCCCTGGTCATCGGAGCAAGCTGGATCCTGTCTACACCCAGCACCGTCGCCGAGACTCTGGCTACTGCATCTGGGAATGTGCCGGTTGTCTCAGCTGGCCCCGAGCTGGAAGCGGAATCTGCAGCTCCGCCGACGACGCCGCCGACGCCGACAACGCCACCCAGCCCCCAAAGGACCTACAGGGTGTCGACCGGCAACCCAACACCGCCCAAGAACTACACGTACAATGATGTGAGGAACAACCCGGGACTCTTTTGGCTGGAGCGGCATCCGCAAGTGTGCGCAGCATGCACCACCGACGAGCTAACAGCAGAAAACGGCCAACAGAATGTCTCTGCGTGGATCAGTGGTGCAGAGCTTCCGTGCTTTGATGGAATAGCACCGTGGCAGACGGAATTTGAAACGAGCCCCAAATGCTCCTATCGACGGCAACTATCCTGCAGCTCGATTCGGGCAGCCGAGTCCAATTTTGCACAACTCGAGCAGTGCTTGGAGAAAAAGCTCCCTCGGCAATGGCTCTTCTTGGCCGGAGACTCGGTCACACGTCAATACATTGAAACACTGTACAATATGTTGCCGCCATCGGTGATGGTCGAGCTGCCGTTGACACCGCCCCGTCTCGCCAAATACATGCCAGCGCGCCTGACCAAAGACTACCGGTAACCCGCGTTTTCTTTTTTTTTTGTCCCAAGTTGCTGTTGCATGAGCGTTCAACGAATTGTGTCGTGGGCTTTTGCGAGATTCTGATGGGCATGATTTTGGGTTGTGCTCTCTACATGCAGAAATCGAGAGTTTTTGTTATTTGGTCGCTTCCTGCTGACATATGCACTCGTAGGTCAAGTCGGAGAGGTATCCAACTTGAACATTCGCACTTTACTGAACGTGACGAGTGAACGCAAGGATGAACTTCGACAGCTGGGCTCCAGAGCCCCTTTCCCCAGCAATTCTCGAGTGTTTTCGACCCCCGACTTTTTAATGTTCAACACGGGCCTGTGGGACACTCAGACCGGTGTACAAGCTTTTGCCGCAAAACACAGTCAACTGGCTGACATGCTTGAGCAAGAATACCAAATTCCGGCATCACGGCTGGGATTTCGCAGCATCACTCGCGTTGATCCTCTCTTGCCACAACGCGATCCCACTCGAACGTCGTTCCACAACGAGATTCTCCGAGACTTGAATGTTGCTGCGCACGCGGAACTGGTTCTCAAGCGAGGGTGGCACTTTATCGATGCCAGCATCCTCTCAGATCGACATGACTTTGCGCGTGACGGATTTCATCCCGACAACTTTGGGCGCTGCGACATGGTTGACCTGGTATTGGCGTTTCTTTGCAGTGACACTTTCCAGCCAGAGACTGAAGCTTGATCCCCCTTTTCTGCATTTATGGGGAGGAGGGGGGGGAGGCGGCAAATGCTTGGCACGAGCTTGCCGCCATGTTAACTTGCACCCTGAACTTAATTTTTTTTGTAATTTTAGTGATACTCATACAAGTAGTATTAAAGCCTCTTTAATGAGTTTGTTTCACCATCTACTGCACATATCGGATTGTTATAGCCCGAGGTGATCGATTCGTAAATTGGATGCACGATGGTGCCCTCGCCCTTCCCAAATTTGTCACTTCCTCGCGGTGACTCTCCTCGGTCGCCCTTCCCATGACCCTTCCGTTCTCTTTGAAAGGCAATCAACCGCAGCTTGTCTTGAGCACTCTGTTCTTCCGCTTTATTCTTGTTTATCTTTTTCCTTGTTTTTTTTGCGGCATTTTCCAATTGGTTTTTTTCGTTCAGTTCTTTTTTTTTTTTTCTTTTTTTCTTTTTTTTTTCTGGCCGTTCGCGACTCGTCTCTGCGACTGTGCTCAAACCCCACGCAGCTGCCCCGGCCATCTCACCCCCTTTCTGCGTCTTTGATACTTTGCTCTCTCCGAGTGGCGAACCTCCCAGCAAATCCACGGAAACAGCAAGCCATCGACACAAAATCACCGCGTTGGTGGTTTTTTTTTTCTTTCGTTCTTTTCTTTCTCGCCTCTTAATTTGCTTTTATCGGTTCCCAACTTGCCGCCATGGGGTGCATTGCTAGTAAACCACCGATTGACTTCTCTGCAGATGGTAAGCGCCTCTCGCCTCTCTCCCCTTGTCTGTCTGTTTGGTTCTTCCAGGATGTGAGATTGTCGAGCTTTTTTTTTTTTTTTTTTTCTCGTTTGGTTGTTGCTTCTCTCTCCTCTGAATGAGCCAAGTCGCGTAGTGTGTGCGACTCGTCTCGCCCCTCGCCCTCTCATCCTCGTCATCTCCCTTCTGCTGGTTCTTGCGCTCTCCCCTCCACACTCGTTGCCCGCGTCTCTCCCTTCAAGCAGTCTTTGAGAAGGACCCTTTTTTTGCTCTTTTTTTTTTTTCCCGTTGTTTTTTTGCTTTTGCAGCCCTATTTTTTGCTTTTTTTTTTTTCTTCTTCTTTTTTTTTCAAGATTTTTACCGTTGTTGTGCTTGCTTCCTCACTCTCGCCCATGCACCACCGGTGTGGGTGGCTCGCCGTGCACTCAAGCTGGAGCTGTTCAACATCACCAAGTTGATGATTGCTGTGCGATGCCTTGCGTGCGAGTGAACAACATGACAGGGCAACAAAAAAAAAAAGCGCGACTTGGGTTTTTTCTTTTTTTTTTTTTTTTTTTTTTTGTTCTGCCGTCGTAACCGCAGGCTGTCCATGTGTACACCCTTGCATGGGCACGCACTCGCAGTGATTGTTTGCATCTCCCCACAAGTGCCACGGGGTTGTCGACGCGAAGCAACCCAGCGCGCCCCGAGTTACTCGATGAGTTTTTTTCTATTTTGCGCATCCACATCTACGTGACAAAAAAAAATTATTTTTTTTATTTTATTTTTTTACTCCGTGGCTGTGTTGATGGCCGGGTACCTTCGTCTTTGCTGTGTGTCTCTGCTGCGGCCTTGCGCAGATAGAGGGATGAGGGTGCCCAGATTCAGCTGGGCCGCTAGACAGCACAGCCCTGGACCAAAGCGACTGTGGTTGATCCTGGCTGCTTTTTTTTTTTTTTGTTTGGTTGGTTGCGCGGTCGCGTCCTCGCCACCACGGCTGTGTATCCACAGTGGTTGTGCGTGTCACACTCAGGCCTCTGCTTGAGCTCTGCTGTTTGGTGGTGCATTCGAGTATTGACCGTGGCAGCCATGGAGAGGGGGAAAGTTGTCGGTGTGCTGCTCGTTTGCCGCCAAAAAAAAAAAAAAAATCACAACAAATAAATCGACAAACAATTGAATCGATTTTTTATTATTTTTTATTTTTGTTTTTATTTTTTATTTTTGTTTTTATTTTTTATTTTTGTTTTTATTTTGAAAAACGGGCCCAAACCGCAACGAGTTTTGCACTGCCGTGTTGGCGACTCTGCTTGGTTGCTGTTGCTGTTGATGGAGATTTGGGCATTCATGACTGGTTTTCATCATTGCTTTGCGAGATCGTGATGGGGGTCAATTGGCGGGTTGTGATCACAATTTTTTGTGTGTGTGTTTGCGAAATTTTTATTTTTCTTGTTTTTGTTTTTGTTATTGTCCTTGCTTTTGTTTGTTTTTGTTTTTGTTTTTTGGCTCGGGTTTTTTTTTTTTTTTTTTTTTTGTGCGCTCATTTTCTTTTGACTGACTTTTTCCCCCTCTGCTCTTCTCCCTTCCTCGCACACAGTCAACTTTGAGCACTTCAAGCTGCTGCGCTCGGTCGGTCGCGGTGCTTTCGGCAAGGTAACACTGTCAAATCCAACTTTGAATCATTCGGATTATTTTTGGCGCGGACGTTATGGTGGCGATTGGCAAGAGTTCTCGCACTTTCACTTCAGGCGCTCGCGAGGTGCATCGTGAGCATCAGAGGAGACAGAGTAGAGCAAACGGGGAGTGTGTTGGAAACAGCAAAGGAGACAAATGTCTGCGAAACGAATGCCGTTTGGCATCGCCAGAACCATTTCGCAGGTTTTTTTTTTTTTTTGGTCATGCGAAAAAGTTTCACAACAAACAACCAAAACCGCACTCGAAACGGCTCTTCCGATGTCGGCCGTGTGCCAACCACACCAACACACAATTGCGATCATGAACACAAGGAAGATGCTGGATGTGCGGTGGAGAATGGGAGGTGCTGCCAAACACTGAGTCAGTCGTCGAGCGCGACAAATCGCTGTAAGCAGCGGTTTTCTTCGATCGAGCCACACCTCCTCGCATCTAGCAGCGCTGACTCATCCCCCAACCCTGCGGTTGGTTGAACAACGCGACAAATACTGCAAGGATATGAATACCCGGGGTCGATCGTCCAAATCCATCCATGGGGTTTCTGCACTGGGTTGTGGTTGTTTTTGTTGCGACTTGTGTTTTTTTTTTATGTGTGTGTGTTTTTGTTTTTTGTTGTTTTTTTTTTTTTTTTTCGTTGTTGCTTTTCAGTTCTTTGTGCTCAACCCCCCCCCCTCTCCATACGCAGGTCTGCATCGTCCTCAAGCGCGACACAAAGAAGCTGTACGCAATGAAATACATGAACAAGGAAAAGTGCCTACAAAAGCGTGCCATTCGGAACGTTTTCAATGAGCGGAAAATCCTCGAGTCGCTCCAGCACCAGTTCATCGTCAACCTCTGGTTTGCCTTCCAGGACGAGGAAGACCTGTTTTTCGTAGTCGATCTAATGCTTGGCGGAGACCTTCGGTATCACGCACAGCGCTCTGGCGCCTTCTCGGAGGACCGCATTCGGTTGTACACTGCAGAATTGATGATGGCGCTGGTCTACATTCACGACCGAAACATCATCCACCGCGACATCAAGCCAGATAACATTCTTATGGACGAGAACGGCCACGTCCATCTGGCCGACTTTAACGTGGCGGCGTCCATCCGCAAGGGTTCGCTGCTGTATGCCCGAGCGGGCACCAAGCCGTACATGGCGCCTGAAATTCTGAACAAGTCTGGCTATAATCAATCCGCCGACTGGTGGAGTCTTGGCGTGTGCATGTACGAGTTGCTGCGGGGCAAGGTAACTCGAGCTGTTTTTTTGTTTTTGTTTTTTTTTGGGGGGGGGTTTGTTTGGTTTTGTTGTCTCAGGTGGTAGGCATGTGGTCGAGTTGTCCTGTGTCTGACTCGCTTTGGGGGTGTTTTGCTTCCTTTGTCTTTTCTGCAGCATCCCTTCCGAGGCGGCACGACCGAGGAAATGCTCGAAATGATCCAATCGGCGCCGATCAAATACCCCACTACGTGGTCGGAACCGTGCATTTCCTTCCTTTCAGGAGTAAGACGACTCTTTGTGGCTATCAGCGTGGGGAGAATGACTAGGCTTCCAAGGCGATTGACTTTTTTTTTTGTGTGTGTGTGTGTGTGCGCGCCAACTTTGCTGCAGCTTCTCGAACGTGACGTGACAAAGCGCATGACCATCACGTCCGAGAACGTCCAGGAAGTTTTGAAGCATCCTTTCCTTGCGTCCCTGGACTACGATAAGCTGATCAATAAGGAACTTGTGCCGTCCTTTGTCCCAGACGTAAGGAAGCGACCATTGTGTCTTGCATAGTGTTGTTTTTTGTTTGGTTTTCCCCTCGATATTCACTTTTGATTGCCTGTTGTTGTTGTTGTCGTTGTTGCTGTTTGACACGAGTAGAAGGACAAGGTCAACTGTGACGCCATGTACGAGCTCGAGGAAATGATGCTCGAGGACAATCCTCTGCATAAGAAGAAGCAGCGCTTGCAAAAGACAACAATGTCCAAGCAAGAGCAAGCCAAGCGGGAAACCATTGGTGCAGAGTTGCAACGAATTGCGGAGAAATTCACCGTTTACGACCGATCTAAAGTTGTACGTGGCCAGTTTTTTTTTTGTTTTTGGTTGTGGAAGGTTTTGCATTTGCGGCTGTTGCCAATTCTCTCGCTGATCATCGTGTTTGTGTGCGCGTGTTTGATTCTTGCCTCCAGAAATCAACGCCGGATGTCGCGCTTGACACGAATATTGACGACGACGAGATCACTTCCGCATCACCCCGACCACAACGAGCGTCGGGTCTTGCCGTGTTCAGCAACGAGCATGACTCGTCGCACATGTCCGAGGATGAAAACGCTCTTCGAGGCGACTCGGACAGTAGGCGTGTGCGGTCTCAATCGACCGATCCCGACCCACTCGAGCTGCCAACTCGGCTGGTCACTCCTGTTGTGGACGATGGCTCGAGCACCTCATCGCCCATCCAGGCTTGAGTGCATTTCCCTTCCTTTTAGAGCCAGGCTGTTGCGACGAGACCCTGTCCCATCGGGTTTTTTTTTTCTTCTTCTTTCCGCCCTGTTCCCTCTCCCAGAGGCTCGTCGGGGGGGTTTGCAGTTTGACACTTCAAATCCTGCAACAGATTATTGTTTTTTTGTTGTTGTTTTTTTTTTTTTTTTTGGTTTCACTTCAATTTTTTTTTTTGTTGTTGTTGTTTTTTGCTTCCTTTGTTTGTTTGCCTTTCTTTCCCCCAACCCCCCCCCCTCTCGTACTCTTGGCCTTACGTTTTATGGTAATGATTTGGTATCGTCCCACATCCTTGCGCGAGCTAGCATGACTTCCTTCCGGCTGGCCACGGATGAGTTACTTGTCTTTGTTATCGCTCAACTTGAAATTGATTTCCCGCACCCTTCTTTCTTGTTCCATTTGTTGTTTTGTTTTTTCTCGTTTTGTACACTCTTTCTTGGTTTTCTTGCTCGTAAACAAATCGGTTGTCGTGCTTTTGTTCGCTGTACTTGAGTTTCACGCAAACTTTTAACAATGAATGACTGTTGTTTTGAACAAGTTTTTGTTGCTGCGTGTGCTTTTTGTTCGTACAGCCAAGCAACCAAGAGACGGGAAGAGGTTGACTTGACATTTTAATTTCATTCACTCCTTCTTCTGCTTCATAGAATTTTTGCAATGGACGACGAGTTGACCAAGGTACTTTGCGGCTTTCTTTCTTGTCTCTCTCTCTCTCTCTCTCTCTCTCTCTCTCTCTCTCTCTCTCTCTCTGTCTCTCTCTCTCTCCGTCCTTCGCTCGTCTTCTCCACTCTGACCAATGCGATCGACACGTGTTGTTGTTCATCGCACAATTCCATCGATCGCATGTGCTTCCCCCCCCCCCTCCCCTCCAAACGAGAGCGCGCAACAGCAAACAACACGAAACGAAACGAAAACATGCGAGATCTCTTTTGTTCGCTTTTCTATGAAACACTGACTAACCATTGACGTTTTGTCCCCCGCTGTCCTGACTCCCTCTGTCAACTCCATGTAAAGTCCTTCCTCGAGCTGCAGGGCAAGATTGTCGAGACCAACCGCCAGCTGCGTGTTGCGCACGCCCAGGCCGAGGCTGCCGAGCGAGCAGGCGTCCGCGCTTCCCTCACCACCAAGGAGCTTGCACAGCTGACTCCCGAGACCCGCACGTACAAGAGCGTTGGCCGAGCGTACGTTGCTTGTGTTTGGTTTTGTGGTGGTTGTGGGTGGGAGGCCACTGTTGTGCTTGAATGCGACTGCTCGTTTACTCACTTTGCTACCGCCGACTATTGTGCGTGGACTCGATGCGTACCGCCCCCCCCCCGCCTACTATGATGCAGATTCCTCTTCCAACCTGTTCAGCAAGTGCTCGAGGAGCTGGAGAGTGTTGCCGCCAAGAGCAAGGTTGATGTTGTCAAGTTCCAGGTAAACTTGTCAAACGTGTCGTCGTCGTGTTTTTGTGCTCCTATAGGCTATAGGCTGTGGTGATGTCGGGGTCGAGCACAATGAGCGTAGAAGATTGTTCGATCACGTCGCAAGAAGTCTATTCTCACCATCGTTGTTTCTATCGGTCCATCCACGCGCAGAAATCGGCCAGCTACCACGAACGCTCCCTCAAAGACTACGAGGCACAGATGCGCGAAACTGTCGCAGCATTGCAAAAGAACCAAATGGCCAAGAAGTGATTTCCGTCAGATTGTGTTGCCAAGCCTTTCGTTTCAAACAAACATTACAGTGTAATTCCTGCCATTTCTTTCACTCGTTGTTTTTTCCGGTTGTTCTGCGGAGGACAAGTCTTCTTATCATGACGCCGATGTTACAAACTCGAGACAGTGGCTCCCTCTTATTCTCCATAATCGCCAGCTTTGAAGGAAAAACAATAACAACACCGAACGGAAAATGAAAACTGATTTTAATCAATGAAAAACACCCAAAATCAAACGCATCACACTAACTGAAACGATAACGCAGCAAGAGGTTGCCTCGGCCTCGCGTTGCCTCAAGTCACTTTCAGGAAACACGGCTTGCACATACGCTTTGGCAGCGGATTTCCGGGAATGGCGGCAAAGTTGTTGGAGCAGCCGTGGCAGAAAATCAACCCGCACAAGCGGCAGTGATGCCGCCGAACGAACAGGGTGAAGCGATCGCCGCATAGAGTACAGCTGGCAGATTGGTCGTCACGCACCCAGTGCTTGTGACGCTGGTGCTGTGAAATGCCGAGATGCAGCGGGTCTGATTCTGCAGACTCGGCAAGATCGCCACTGTTGCCCGCGCTGGACAATGTTGATGCTTGCGAGTTGGCAGAAATATACGAAGCTGTTGATGTCGCAGACATGGCTGATGGCGGGCGGAAGAGAATTTCATCTCCGGGCGAAAGCGAAGCCCGGACCGTCGAGTCGCGCTGTCCTGGCTGCTGCTGCTGCTGTTGTTGTTGTTGCTGCTGCTGTTGTTGTTGTTGTTGGAGTTGATGGCGTTGGCGAATGCGAATCTGTTGCTTGGCCAGGACGACAAGATTCTGGTAGTAATACCGATTGACAAGCCGCACCTCGACGCTCGTCCAATTAGACTGTCGGAAGACGTCGGAGCCGGACTTGAGAATCGCCTCGGGTGAGGCTGGATTCGTGGGTTGGTACATGAAGGGCAGAGACTCCTCTCCAAATCCCGTGAGCGACGAGTGGGAAACTGGGCCGGACACGCTGCCAGTCGTTCCGGCCGATTGCACCGTCCCTTCGTCCCAGAACGTGCGACGAATAAACTCAAAGGCGCCTTTGCAACGCAGCCAGACATACGGCTCGCGCTCTCGTCGAGGGCACAGCATGCAGATGGAAATGGCGCTGTTTTGCAAGTAGACGAGGCCGATGCGTGCCTCGACAGTGCTGTCAGCGACGTGCCCGTACAGCACGCCAGTGCCCTGGTAGTCAGGAACCGTGTTGCCGGGGACGTCGAAATCAACGGGCGCCTTGACCCACGCGATCATGGGAATTTCGTCGTTCAAGGTGGAGGAGGATGTTGTGGAACCAGCACGCGATCGCGAATTGCTCGCACGAGACGTGGTGCCCGACGACGACGTGCCAGACGCGGCAGCCGCCTGAAGTGCAGCCGCAAAGTCTTTCGGCACAAAGTCTTTCCCTGCGCTCACGGGCATGAACAGGCTGGGGAGACTGCGATCGCAGACAAAGCCGCTGGTTTGCAGCTCCAAGATCGATTCTGCCACAAGCGTGTTCAATGTTGTCTGAGGGTAGTGCTTGAAGCTGGTGGCCTTGACAAGAATGTACGCAGACAGCACGCCAGGCTCGAGGCACAACTGAAGATGCATGGCAGAGGTGCCGGCAGGAACGCGAGACGCCACATCAAACTGCCAAGTGGTGGGGTATCGGAATCCAAACTGTGGCCGTTCTCGCTGCACTGGCGGAGTTACATACTGGACAATCGACTCGCTGGAGACCTGCCGCAAGAACGCCGCGTCGCTCGTGGCGATGGACGACGTGTTGAGCGCGTTGGACGCCGTGGACATGGAATTGGACAGCGCGGCAGAAGAGGCAAACGGGGGCGGCGAAACAGCACGCTGGATGGCCTGTGCAGTCGACTCTTGGAAGGAGTCTTGTTGCGAAGCGTGCGCTGCAGCTGTCTGTGGCTGGCCCCGCTTTGAGGGAGACGCGGGGGTCGACGTTGACGAGGAGGTCTGAAGCATGGCTGGCATCAATGGCGAGGAGGTGACCAGGTTGGAAAGCGTGGTGCTGTTGGCGTTCGCGCCTTGGGACGAAGGAGCAGACGTGATGGCCAGCCCGATCGAGGACTCCATCGTGAGCTGAAGCGAGCCGCAAGCAAGGGCAAGGTCCCGCTTAAAGTCGTCCCAGTCTGTCCGCGCACACACACCGCAAGCCATAACCAGCCAAGGGCCGACTGCAAATGTAATCATCCGCACGAGAAGCGTTTCTTCATCAATGGCATCGTCGGCGGCCAGTGTAGCTGCGTCGGGGACCAGTGGCGAAACACGACCGTTGCTTGCAGAGTGACTCTGGTGTTTTCGTCGCCCAGAGTTGCTACTCGTGGAGCCGCGCCGCTTGTTGACGGTGGGTGACGTGGGCGGCGAAGCCCAGAACGATGTGGAATAATCGTCCACGGCCATGACATCGACCAGCAGTCGGCCAAACTCTCGCCCAGTATCCCACCATTGCAGCTGGCGCACGCCGTACCCAGCAGCATCAAGGTAGGTCTGAGCCAAATCAGCAGCGTTGACGGGAAAGGGAGTGCGGACAGCATGAACTTCAAAGCGCACGTTGGCGTCATTCTGCAAGGGTTCGCGCAAGGCCGAGTTGCGCTCTTCCAGCGGGACGTCGCTAAACGAACTGGTGTGGTGCCGCGGGCTCTGTGTGTTTTGGTTTTCGCGCGGTGACGGCTGCGGGTTGCTGTAGGAGGTGAATCCGACCGTAATACCAAATTTCTCTGGAATCGCGTTGTTATTGTTGTGATTGAGTCTGCCTTGGTTGTTACGATTGTTGGAACGCATAGTGTCGTGGAAGGAGCTCATGCTGGGCGTCGTGGGTCGACTGTTGGACACGGTGTTGCTTGCGCCGAAAGCGCTGGGCGGCAAGTAGGCAAAATCGCCGTCGCCTTCCCCATACTGTTGGATTCTGCTTGTGGCAAGGTTGCCTGCTGCCGAAAGAAGCGAATCCATCGAGTGCGATCGCGAGATTGACGGGGTTGCCATGTTGCTGTGCTCGAGGCTCGCAAACGCTGCAGAGAGCGCGTCTGCCTCGGCGCCGTTCGCTGGCTGCTGCAATCCGAGCGTTGGCGACATTGGCCGCGATGCAGAAGGCGACAGCATTGCAGAGGACGCTGTGCCTGCGAACGTGCTGCGCGTGTTGGGTGATTGGAGCTCGTTCTGAAGCGCCACGGCACTCGCGGCGGCAGCAGCGGCGGCAGCATCGTTCTGCTGCGCGATGGCGGCAGCGCGACGCTTGGCAGCCGCAGCGAGCGTCGCCTGAGAGCGCTTGACGGGTGTGGTTGGTATGAACAGACACAAGCACTGCGGAACGGGCATCCCATGGCGCGTCAACCACGGCAGCGCAGGAGCGAACAGCGTCGACGCGAATGGCGGCGGCGGCGTTGCAATCTTCCACGACCGCGGCAGGACAGTCTTGAAGCTCAATCTAACAACACACATAACAAACAAGAATAGAATGGTGATCCAAAGCCACAACAATGTGAGTTGAACGCGTCACAGAGGCCCAATCAATGATCACGAGCGACGATCTCAGAGCCAAGCAAGCGGGGGGGTTGTCTTCCACTGCTGAATCGGTCTTGCTATATATATATATATATGTGTGTGTGTGTGTGTGTGTGTGCTACCTTGCGAGCTCGGTCGGGACGCAGTGGACGACGCGGTGGGTGCGTGGCGAGCACCAGCGCTGAGTGCTGGACACGATGGGACTGAGCGCGCCCATGCCCGTTGCAGCAGTGCGCAGAGCCGGGACGGGCGACGCAGCAATGTTGGCAGCACTGAGGATTGTAGTAGTAGTAGTAGGAGTAGTGGTTGAAGTGGGAGTGGCGGTCGTAGCAGGAGTCGACGCAGTGTTGGCATGGACAGGCGCGCCCGAGTGCGACGGTGATGAAGAGGACGGCGGCATGGTCGCTGGGACGCCAACACTCGACGACGACGACGACGACGCGACGCCTGCGACCCCAGTGAACGACGACGACGATGATGACAGTGCTGAGGATGATGACGGTGGCAACGTGGCGGCTGTCGTCGCTGCGGGGATTGTCGGGACGGCGGATGCAGCTGACGACGGAACGGCGGCCGTGACAGTGGGCTGCTTGCGAGGCGATCTCAGCAACGATGATGCTGATGATGATAATGATGATGATGCTGATGATGACGACGGCGGCGGCGGCGGCAGAGTCTCATCGAGCTCGGACGCGTCGTCCGACGCAGTCATCATGGTTGCAAAGGAAAAAAAAAAAAAAGAGTGAAAAGATGAAAAAAAAAAAAAAAAAAACTCAGAGCAAAAGAAGGACAATGAATGGAATGGATGAATGGATCAATGGATAAAAGGATGAATGGGTGGATTGGCGTATGACGAGATTTGGTGAAGCGAATGTTGCTGGTTGAAACAAAGTATGTGTTACGACCTTACCCGGAACATAACCCGTATCACTACTAAAGTATGCTAGAATAGAATGCGGAAGTATCGTGTACTAAGAATATAGTGAAGAATGAGGGGAAGCCTAACTAGGCTGAGCCTAGTTCGTAACAGTATGCGCAAAAAACATCAGTCAGTATATGGGGCCGTTTTTTTAAAAAGGTAGAGTGAACCCCCCAAAATATGTCGTTCATATCCACCACCGTGTCCTACGTCGCTTTCCGCCGCTGGTGCTCTGATTGTGTGGTTTACACCATGCCATCAGTGTGCTCGAGGGTCGGGGGCGCAGCGGAAGTGCGTTGGGCGGCGGGGCGGAGCGAGAAAAGGAGCGGTTTGTGTCGCGGTGTGATTTCTCAGCCAAGCTTTTCCCAGCCCTCAATCTGTGCCACTGCTACATTCTGTTGCGGGTTCATCTTGTCCAACAATAATCGGGCCGCAGTAGAGGGCGATTAGCCCCAGCACACTTGGTTACAAAAAAAAAAAAAAAAAAAAAAAAAAAAAAAAAAAAAAAAAAAAAAAAAAACAACTCTTGCATGTCCAAACCGAGTGCTGAACTGTTTTATGCACTCTCTCAGCTTCCGGCTCCTCCTGCCCCTACCAGCCATTGTCCCGATCTCCGATCTAAAGAATTATTTGATGTGGTGTGGCAGCCCGCTGACACTGATTTGCTGCGACGAGGTTGCGTTGACCGTCACACCTTCTCGCGGCCGTACAGTCGCCGGCGGGACAGCGGCGTGTGGTCTGATGCACCGAGTGGCATAGACACATGGTCTACTCTCTCGGGCGGGGGTTGCAGGGCAGGGGAAAACAATTGCAGAGCTCAGCGACGCGATGGGAGTGAAAGACATGGCGATTCTACCTTTTTAAAAAAACAGCCCCATATACGTAGGAACGCCTAACCGCACTTTTTTTTCGGTGGTCGCTGTTTTCATTTTGATATCAAAACTTCTGACCGCACTTCGTTTTGACATCAAAACTTCTGACCGCACTTCGTTTTGATATCAAAACTCCTAACCACACTTTTTGAAATAAGGGGAGTTGGAGTGTAACAAAGACAAGGAGAGGGCCGCAGAGAAAAGACGAGAGATGGGTGGGGGTGGGGAGAGCAGTGTCCAAATATAATCAGGATTTGAAACTCTTGTAAGAGGACTTGAAAATTTCTAATATATTAGGAAGGTGTGGCATATGCCTGTTTCAAACAGAAGTATGTGGAGTTAGTGTCTCAACGTATGAACGGAAATCTAAAAATGCCACCAAAGCGTTCAAAGAAATCCGAACACGATCTTGCTTACATCCGAGGTGTGTACAACACGATTATGTCTGGATTTATCCATCATAGTTCGTCCGAAGGTCGAGCAACCATCATTCTTGGCTTTCTCAGCGCTGACTTTATCAGCAGCATTCTTATCGCCTTGTCGACGGCGATCCGACACATAATCCGCAAATTCACCAAAAATCGCATTCGGAGTTACAGGTGTCGCAGAGAGTACACTGGCGTAATGACCAATCCATGCTCCAGATACCATTTCAACAAGGGAGAAAACAGACAAATCTTGGTGGCTTGCAGAACTCCAACCAACTTTCGCGATGTTGGGATTTTGTCTGCCTTTGTATGAATCGCTTTGTACACATCGCGCATGTAGTCGTTGATATCACTATCTTGAATATCGACATTCATGAAAATCGGAGGCAGTTCGCTGAATTTATTGTACAGCTCTTCGGGAACATGAATATCGACCTCCACAAATCCAAACCATCCACCCAAAATATTTTGTCGACAGATTTTGACATCATACAGTCCCTCTTTTCTCTCCAATACACCACATGGCATTGGTTGCGCCAACGCCCACAGATACAGTGCATTCGTATCAAATCCCTGCACACCACCAACCATCTTACCAGGTTCACCAAGACGATACTCACCATCCTCATATACGGGACGTCGGATCTGCGTCTTTCCCGCTTCGTGATAATGATGAAACACCAAAGAGGGTCCTCCAACCATGCTCTTGCGCAACATGTACTATCCCGATCATTAAATTTCGACCCCCCCTCTTTTTTTCACTTTTTCGCCCTCCCTGGGACCTGTGTTGCTTTCCGTCTCGCCCGCGGAATGTTCATTCATGGTACAGTGTACCAGACACATTTTAGAAGTGAAGCAGCGGGCTGGGAGTTAAGATTCGAAGCGAGAACAGACAAAAATGAAAACTCAAAAAAACAGAAAAAGAGCGGCTTTTTTGCCCAATTTTCACAAAGCATTACATGGCACACAAACAACGTGTCGCAGCGCCTTCGCTCCACTTCAGTACTTGGTATAACCACCATTGGCATCTATCACAGCTTGAATGCGGCGCGGCATCGATGAAATGAGATCGCGGCAGACCTCTGGCGTGAGCACTTCTTCGTAGACCGCTTGGAAGCGTTCCCACAACGCGGCCTTGCTCTTGATCTCCCTCTCCTGGTAGATCTTGTTCTTGACCATGTTCCACGCATTTTCGATGGGGTTGAGGTCGGGAGAGTTCGCAGGCCAGTCCAGGACGGTGATCTGATTGGTTTCGAACCACTTCGCCACATCTTTTCTTTTGTGACAAGGGGCATTGTCATGCATGAAAATCATCTCGTTTTTGTTGTTCCACACGCGAATGCTTGCTAGCAACTCGCTCTCCAAAACTGAGAGGTAGGTGTCGCCGTTCATGACGTCGCCGACCTCGCAGAAAAGCGAAATTCCGAAACGAGAGATGGCGCCCCAAACATTGATATGGCCACCGCCGAACTTGACCGTGCCCTGCACGCATCGATCGGTCAACGTTTCGCCAACCAGACGCCATACACGACCACCGTTGTTGTTCCTGTAGAGATAGAGAGCAGTCTCGTCGGAGAAGACGACCCTCAGCCAGTCATCGACGGTCCAATGCTGATGAGCGAGTGCAAAGGCCAAGCGTCGCTCTTTGTGTGTCTCTTTCAAGAGGGCTTTTTTGACCTTCGCTCCGTTGACAAGTCCTGCACCATGCAGCACCCTTCTTATCGTGCATGGAGAGACACGAACTTTGGACAATGTGCGCATAGTGGCGGCCACTTCGGATGCGGTGTCGGACTCATCGAGGAGGATCTGTGCTACAATGTTGTTGCGGTGAAATGACTTGAGCTTGCTGGGGCGACCGGGGCGGGGGCTGTCGCTCGTCGTCGCCCTTCCCGAGAAACGTTGGGTGATGCTGATCACTGTAGAACGTGGGAGGTGAAGCTGGGTGGCGATCTTGTTGTAGGAGAGGCCAGCATTTCGCAACGCGAGCACTTGACCGCGGACGACCTCCCTGGGCATCTTGTCCAGCACGGGCAGCGGTCTTTTTGGTGAAGTTGGACGCAGCCATACCGGGGGCTGTCTGGGAGCCACGCGGGACGTGGACTGACTGCGTGTGCGAGTCATGCGCACAAAAAGACTGAACCCAAACCAAAATTTGGGCGGGAAAAGTGAATTTTTTGAGTTTCCTTATATTTTTTATTTTGCTCGCTGCTGCTCTGATATGACTCACAACCCCCGCTCCCGGTGTTCATCAGACGTTCGGTACACCGTACCATGAATGAACATTCCGCGGGCGAGACGGAAAGCAACACAGGTCCCAGGGAGGGCGAAAAAGTGAAAAAAAGAGGGGGGGTCGAAATTTAATGATCGGGATAGTATTGTGTCCAACGCGTTTTTCGATTTCGTTAACGCCGAGTTCGGAACTCGACCTGTCACTGAGTATTCCAATGAACAAAAATTTGAACTGCTAACTCAACATATTAAAGTAGCCTTTCGAAACTATTTTATTCGCACGGAGACAAACTACCGATTAAGTAGCGGGTTTTCAGTACTCTTTGAAGATGAGGTGCATCAAAGGGATCGAAAGGTTGTATTAAAGTACATTGAATAGTGTAGTAAACAACACATATTTCTGTTTGAAACAGACATATGCCGCACCTTCCAAATATATTAGAAATTTTCAAGTCCTCTTACAAGAGTTTCAAATCCTGATTATATTTGGACACTGCTCTCCCCACCCCCACCCATCTCTCGTCTTTTCTCTGCGGCCCTCTCCTTGTCTTTGTTGCACTCCAACTCCCCTTATTTCAAAAAGTGTGGTTAGGAGTTTTGATATCAAAACGAAGTGCGGTCAGAAGTTTTGATATCAAAACGAAAACGGCGATCACCGAAAAAAAAGTGCGGTTAGGCGTTCCTACGTATATACTGACTAACATCAATTCAAACACCTCACTTTGTGTGCGGAGATGGACGCGTTGCGCTGCCGAATCGCCGCAAATCGCTGTGTAGGTGTGTTGTAATATTGATTGATGAATTTTTAGTATTGAACGGACGGGATGAACGGGTCATGGAACCGCCGTATGCGGTGAAAATCGCCGACGCATTCTTTGAACGCTGCTTTTCGCTTGGTTTTGGCCTGCTTGGATGCGCGTTTGGATGATAGATTGTCGACTGATGGTTGGCTGCGCTATGTTCTAACGTTGCTGTGTGAATTGAGGTGCCCATAGTCATGATTTTCAATTTGATATTTGGAATCTGCATGATCAGATTCATGTCGACTTCGGACAAACACAGTTGCGTCGACCTTTGCCCTGCGGCAGGGCGATCGAGGTTTCCAATACACTAGTTTCATGACTTATAAACACGCATCCTCAAAGCACATACACACTGTATCAATGACCTGAGCCTAATCCGTGTTGCTGGGCGAAGGTATGGTCGTTGTCAATAGAACTGACGGAAATTTTCAACCAAATTGTCTGGGCATTGTGCTGATTGTAGATCTGGGAGACTATGAGAAGCCAGACACGGGGCAACAGCGGCGATGGATGTGCAGAGCACTGGGAGGAAGCTGTTTGATCTCAAAACCGACAAGATTGGGAAAATGACATCAACCAGCAGGGCACGGGTTCAAAGATGGAAAGCGGTGCTTGCAGCTTGGGCGTCTACTCGCGTGGAATGATGCACGACACGCCAATCAAAACAAACACTTAGACGACCAGAAAACAACGATCATTGAACGATACATTGAACTACACACTACGAAAAAATACTGTCAATAACACGCCAACAAAGACATTCAGTTACACCTAAGCCGAGAGGGTAGGACCGCTTGAAGCAGCAGAGTCGCTGCTGGGGCTGGCAACAGCAGGGCCTTGCACAGCGGCTGCATGGGCTGGACAGAGCCAACGAACCTCACCGGTGGCCATGACGACCACACGCTCCAAGCCAGCAAAGGACTGGTGCTCGTCCTTCTTGGTCAGGAAAGAAACCCACTCTCGCGCGGCTTCCTGGGATGAATGCGTTGTCTCTGAGGCCGCAGCAGCCGGTCCAACCTTGCCCGCTTCCTCGAGCAGCTTGGCCAAATACGGCAGGGCCTCGAGCGGATTTTCCAGCGCTACATCCACCGCGTCAATCGCTTCAGATGCATCAGGCCCACCGGTGACAATGCTGGCCAACTTGAGCAGAGGCCGCACCGCTGCCAGCAGCGCTCGAACGCGCGGGCCGTACTTTTCCAGCCATTTGGACAGCTTGTCGATCGGATAGCCTTCGTGACCCTCGATGCGGTGCCAGTCTGGCTTGTTGTCGTCACTCATGTGCTCGCAGAGCAAGTGAGCCTCAAACTTTTTGTGCCAAATCTTGCTGATGGACTTGCTCCAGTGTTTCTTTTTGGCCGGAACCACAACAAAGAGCAGGGGACATGGTTTTTCGGCAAACTCCAGCTGCATCCGGACTTGTCGCGTCCAGTTCCGGCCAATGTCGGCGCGCATTTCCTGAAGCACCGAGTCGATCTTGTCCATGCGAGATGGCAGCAGCCCAGTGACAAGTTGTTCAATCCGCTCAAAAGCGTTACTGGAGTCGCCTTGAGTCTGTTGAATGACAGTCCGCACGAGCCGATCAAGCTCGAGTGGGTCTATTTTGACGGCATCTTGAACGGACTGAATGGTGGCATCCAGAATCTGGCGATGAGCAGTTTGTACGACTTGCACTGACCGTGCGGCAGCCTCTTGAAGTTGCGCCTCGCCGTTAATGGTGATCTGCGCGGCCACTCCCTTGAGCGTTTGCTCTCCAACTTGGAATGCCTGAGTAACGTCTTTCTGCGCTTCGACGACAGCGCGCTGGCCAGCAATAGCACTCTCCTCGACGAGTTTCTGTCCTGTTGCGGCCACCTTCGCTGCCACTTCTTGCAGCGCTTGCTGCCCAGCAAGCACGACGGCAGTCTTGATGTCGCTGGCAACACCCTCGAGCTTGGCTGCAACAGCATCCGTGAGGGTTTTTGTCAACTCTCCCTGCATGGTGTTTGTCACGGCTTCCAACTGGCCGGTCGACACCTCCTGCAGTTCGTTGAGCATTGCAAGCGCGGCAGTGTCAAGTTTGGTTGGCGGATTGATGCCAGCCAACCGATATTGCAGCAATGGCCGCAACACTGGAATCCACTGCTCGCGAACTAGCGTCAATTGCGTGGGCTCGCAATTCAGGTCTTGCTTGTTGAGCAGGGCGTCTCGAACGCACGGAAGGAGCTCAAACAAGCACGCCTCTTCTCCGTGCTCTGGACACTTTGAGCACCGGAAGTACGTCCGCCAAGCAATGCCAGGATACCACCGCGACGTCAGCTCGTCAATCACGCCAACGAGTACCTGAAGGAGGTTCCCAGGGTATGTCCCGCGAGCGATCAGAACAAGCTCCTTGACATCTTCGCGATCGTGTGCAACAAGTCTGACGAGCGCTCGATGGCGATTCCGGCTCACAAGAACACAATGCTGACGCGCTGTCAAGTCATACTTGAGGGAATGCAAGCGAGCGATCACGCGAGAGAAGAATCCATGTGGTAGAAAGTCGCTGCGCATGACCACGGCGGCTTCCAACGGCTCGGTGTTTGCATCGCGATTGGCCCATCCGGCAAGCTCTGCAGCGACTGGCAAGAGAGAGGGGACGAGGAACCGAATGGTATTCGTTGACGTGTCACCAAGGTCGGACGTGTCATCGGAGCCTTGAATCGGGTACAACAGCTCGTAACGCTCCAGAAGTGCCAACAAGCGATCGCACACATCCGCCTCGAGGCCCTTCCAGATGTGCGAAATCAAGTCAACGCGGGCCACGATGCCTTTTTTGACCCACTTGTGTTTCGTGGTAATCACGCCAGTCAACACTGTCTTTGTAAACCATTGAGGATTGAGAATGACAATGTCGTGCTGTGCCGATGAGAGGTGAAGGGAAGATGCATCAGCAGCTTGGCCAGTCGGGTGGTAGACAATCCAGCCTTGGTACCGCAAGAGCTGCAGAAAACCGATAACCTGCGAGCTCTTGAGATTGAGCACGGACTTGCTGAGGTCGAAAATCTGATTGAGGCGAAGCAGCGGTGGCTCGTTTTTGCTCTGCAGCTCGTTGGCCCGATTCTGCAGCAAAAACCGAAACTGCAAAAAGCGTTCATCAACGTCTTTCTTGTAAAATGGCAGTTTGCGCCCCACAGCGAAAATGTGCGACTTGAGCTCTGGCATACTCGGTGCCACCGCTGCAGAGCGAGCGTTGATGTACACTGTCGCGCAAACCTTGAGCGGCTCCGGAGACTGCTTCAAAAACCCAAGCAGGTTCGCAAGTTGGTCTCGTCGCTCTTGCTGCAGCTCGGGTGTGTACATCGGATCGTCAGTGTGGGTGCCAACCAGAATGACATCAGCACCCGAGACACGCGCATGCAGGCTACGCAGCCAGAACGAAAGTCGCGAGTTGCGGGTAATGGGTTCTCGCACATCAAATAAAACCAGGTAGATTGTCCGTTCGCCAAGGAAGAACTGGTGTGACACGAGGTACAGCTCTTGGCCAGCAAAGTCCCAAATGTTCAGAGCCATGACTTCTTTCTGAGCGCGAATGAGCACGGTCGAAATGTCAATCCCGTCAGTGGAGGTGGTCTTGACAGTGTTGCTGCCAGAAAAGAACCTCAAAACAGGGTTTTGCTCGTGTCGACCGATGCCATGAACAAGGGAGGTCTTGCCGACAGCAGGATTGCCGAGTAAGACAACTCGCACTTCATCGCATTGAATCATTGTAGGCTTGGAGAGATCAGAACTATAGCAAAATAGTCAGCAACATTTCCAAACCTTCACACCCCATTGAAAAGATGCTTACTCGATCAATTCTTCGACCCCATTGAGCCGATCAAGGTCTATACGCCGCTTGATATCTGTTGCGATGGTCAGGAAAACATTCTCAACGTTGAAATTTGTCTTCGAGGATGTCTCCAGGAATGACATGTTGTGCTCGTCGGCAAACGCTTTCGCGGTGGCAAAATCAATAGCGCGCAAATGTTCAAGATCACATTTGGTGCCAATGATCATTTTGCTGACATTTGGAGGGGCGTATTTGCTCGTCATGTCCATCCACAGCTTGATTTCTTCAAAAGATGTCTCCACGGCGATATCGTAAGCAATCACGACGCCATGAGCTCCTCGTAAGTAAGCGTTGGCGATTGAATGGTAGCGCGCTTGCCCAGCCGTGTCCCACTGAAACAGAATTTGAAAGTCAGAAGTTGCGTTGCTCTTCAAACCAAGTCAGCTGCAGCCACCAAGCCCATTCTACTCACCGAGGAGAGTCTGATTCTCTTGCCGTCGATCGTGAGATATTTAGTGAACTACAACATGAATTTTCCACCAGACCATTCTGAGTGCTGCAAAATTCAACTAGAAAATTTCAACAGTGTCCACAATGCCAAACTTACATAATTAACACCAATAGTGCTGGGAATGGTGCTATCGTATCGACCATTCTACAGTATTAGATAAAAAAGAAAAAAAAAAAAAAGTAAAGTTGGAGCAATCACAGTGGGCAGTTGGCAAGCGAGTTCTTACATGGGAACGCGCCAACAAGACAGATTTCCCGTTCCCAGAAAGTCCGACAAATAAAACCTTGAACAAATAGTCATAGTTCGCCTGCCAAACCACAGCCAAGTGGGGTGATCAGCACAGAGATTGAAGCTCGAGTTTGAATTGGATCGATTTGAAGTAGCCCTTCCACTCATTCAGTCGGCCTTGCCCCGCAGGCAGCCATTCGAGTCTGCCGTGCTGATTACTAACAAACAGCCGCACTCGTCATGTGTTCAATCGGGGTTTGGGGTTTTGGTGGGGGGGGGAAGTGGGGCAGGGCTTCACCTCCTGGGCAGGCGATGCTGGCTGGTCAGTGCTTGTTGTTTTCGAAGCCATTGCTCTTAGATTTGAAAGCAAAAGAGTAGACTGAGTCGCTAACAACAAACAAAAGATAACACCAATCAAACCTCATCACAAACAAATATCGATTCCTGTCCATCTCAGAATTCAGTCCTCTCCAAGCATGCCAAGCACAGAGGTTTCCAACGCAGTCGCTGCACTCAACCCGCTCGTCGGTCGGTTCTCCACTGCTGTTCAGGATGCATTGCAAGCCACTCGAACCGCAGCACACGCGTCAAGGACAGCGCCTGCAGAGTGGGAATCTGAGCTCGCGCGTCTCGCTGCTGAAACCACTGCAGCCATGCGACCGATACGAGCGATCGCGGCGTCCTCAGGCGCACCCACTGCCTCCACCGCCGCCGGCGGGTCCAAGGCATCGTCTGGGCCGCAGCACGACCTGATCCTCGCCGGGGCGCTTGCGGCTGTCGGCCGGGCGCTGGACTCGGCGTTGGACCTCGTGGAAACGTGCACCCAAGCCGCTTCAAGACAACAACAACGCGGAGGCCAGAGGCGGACGACCGCCGACCGACACGTAGCACAAGAAGAGGCCGATGCGGATGGAATCCCCGAGAGGGAACTTGGCCAAGACAGCCGGCCTGATGCCATTTCAGGTGTCAGTTTACTGCCGTTGCAGAAATCGTTCATCGATCAGCTCCTGCTGACGGTTCGCGTCGCCATGCAGACCATTGCAAACATGTCTGTTGGCAGCTCGGAAACGTCTGCTGTGTGCTGGGACGCCACGTTCCCAATCCGGCTTGCCCGAGTTGCCGCTCTCGTTCAATCCATCACTCCGCAAAGCGAGTCGATTCTCGCGACCGAAGCGCTCGAGCCAACAGCACGCGATGCACACTGTATCGCTCTTGCAAACGTACTGTTCATGTTTATGAACACTTGCATGAATCTGCGACGACCCGTTCGTCGATGGTCTGACTTTTGTGACGTCCACCAACGTGCATCGTCCTTTTCCGGCAATGTGCTTGCGGCCGACAGTCTCGACGACGCCAACCCTCACGAGCGTCAGTTTCGAGCATCCTGTACGATGGTCGTGCTTCGTTGTTGGGTTGCTATGCTTGCTCTCGACGCATTGCAGGGCGAGTCTGTTCCTCGAGAGAGCGCGTCGCCAGCTCCAATGTGCGAATGGGCATACTTTTTGTTCGACAGCCTGATTCGGTCACCTGGCGCACTAGCTGGAGTTGGAAAAACCCTCGGTCAGCAGCAACAACAACAGCAACAGCAAAACGACCGCACTCAACCAGTCGAGCTTCTTGGTGTGGGTTTGGCGTCCAGCTCCGAGTCAGACGACACGCTTCGAGCGGCGCTCCTTTCCCTGCTGCACGCAAAGCTGTCAACATGCGAGGTCACTACGCTACATGTGCTCACCACAGACACTGAGGCTGCTCCAGAGATCAGCAACACGACCAGTTCGACACGCTCGCTTGTCATCCATATTTCGACCCTTCACTACCTTGTCGGGCTGCTCGAAGCTGGCACCTCCGAGATTGTGAGTCCGGACACTGCCTCAAGTGCAAGCACGGGAACTACCGCCGAACGGTCAATCCATCATCCCCAGAACTATGCTATGCTGCGAGACGCGATCGAGTCACTTGCAATCGCTGCTCAATCCATGTCTTCCGAGCAAAAAGTGCTGCTGGAGAGCAACACGGGTGTCGTGGCGAGTGCTGTTCGATTTGGACAAGCGCTCTCACCACGGGTGCTATCTGCTCAAACCCCCGTCCATCCCGAACTTGAACCGACACGGCAGGAGTTGCATCCCCAGTTTGGCCTTCGTTCATCGATTGCACGCTTGCTGGCAAATCTTTGCTACCAGTGTCCCCTCATCCAAGATGCACTTCGAGAGTGTGGAGGCCTCACGATGTGCCTCAACATGTGCAACATTGACGACGCCAACCCGCAGCTGCGCGAGTGGGGACTGCTCACTGTGCGGAACGCATGCGAAGGCAACCTTGCCAATCAAGAGCTAGTTGGCTCGCTCACCGCGCAAGGGGTGGCTGGTAGCGCCGAATTGCGCGAAGCCGGTCTCGCTCCCGAGTTGGATGATCGTGGTTATGTTCGCCTGCGACGAGTGTAACAGTAGAGCGTGAACTTTTGCTTTTTTAAAAATAATAAGACCAATAGAAGCCAAGTACAGACAAGCATGGCATCAATGCTAGGGACGAACAGAGGAAAGGTTCCCAACAAAAGTGTTGGTGTTCAGGTTTAAAATGAAGTGCATGAAGGATGAAAACAGGTTTACAACTCGGTATGGCTTTCGGTTGGTTCCGAATCGGCCACCACAGGTTGAGCAGCGGCGGTCTGGTTGGCTTCAAATTGCTCAAGCACGGCTTTGATGGTCACGTCGTAGGAGGGCCACTCGGGCAAGATACGCGTGGCAGCGGCCAGCTTTGGTTCTTTTGTGAGCGGATTGTTGCACTGTCATTCAAGTCAACAGCAAGTGAGTCTCGCAACCCCAAAGAAACGGGCACAATCAAAACGTTGTTCACACCAGAAAAAATCCGCTCACCAAATCAATCGTCTTGGCACGCTTCTTGGCCTCATCCGAGCACCAAGTTTCACACCACAGCCACTCGGACGGTAGCGAAAAGATGGGCAATTGGTGCATCATGTTGTTCGGGAGATCCTGGTCGAGGTTTGACAAGCTGTTTGGATCCGGGGCGAGCTGCTGGTAGGAGGCACGAAGTTGATCGCCGGCCGAGATTGCGCGGAAGCGAATCAGATCAATCACATACAGCGCACTACATAGAAAACGCGCGAAAAGGAATGAGAAAAAGGGCAACACAAGAGCAAAACAAAACAAAAAAAAACCCACAAAAGAGGGAAAAAAAAAACCTCGTCAACAACACCAAAACGTGCCCTGAGGACTTTGGTACCTAATATGATACGGACGTCCAGCCAAATGCGTCTTCCAATAGCCGGAATCCCAGAAGCGGAAACCGTCCATCTCGCGACGGTCGGAGCAGAACGGCACATAACCATAGGGCGCTCCCTTCAAATCGATCGCGGCCAACTCTGCAAGATCAGCTCGAACGGTTTGGTCCGAGTCGACGAAAATAATCTTGTGAACGCCCAGAGGGAAGAGCACATCCAAGAACAGAATCTTGTACGCCCAAATTGTTCGAATCTTGTTTGTCTGAGCAAACACCCAAGCAGGCCACTTGTAGGTGACAAGTTCCACTTCAAAGTGGAACTGTTCTGCCAAAAAGTGGATGGACTCCTGTGGGTTGCAGCCAAAGCAAACAGTGAGACACCGAGAGACCAGATACTTCTTCAGAGCAGAAAAACAAAAAAGAAAAGAAAAAAAGAACGCGGGCGAATCCATTCGAACGCACTTTAAACTGAGGCGACAGGTAGTTTTTGATTAGCCAAAACTTGACGGGGTGACGCGTGTTGTTGACCACACTCAAAAGCATGATGCGCAAAAAGCGTTCATACAAATGACCCGAGGCCACAGAGAACACGTGAATAGTTTCGAGGTTGGGGTCCGGCATGCGGGGCTGAATCATCGCAACTTCAGAGTCTGCGGCCTCGGCTTTCTGATCTGCTGCTTTTTGACCACCAAGCAAGTTTGTGAACGAAGCCCAGACACCACCCTCTTGGGGTTTCTCTTCAGCTGTCGTGGCTGGAGCCTCAGCCGCAGCCGCAGCCTCAGCCGCAGCCGCAGCAGCCGCCGAAGCCTCTGCTCGTCGGGCACGCTGCTCCTTTTGTTCTGCAATGCTTGCCTGATACAGCTCGTACAACAGATCTTGTTGCACTGCAGCTGGTCGTCGTTGGGCCTGCCATCCAATCCCAACAGTCAGAATGCGAAAGCACAAAAAAACCCAAACACAAAACCCCCCAGTCGCATGCAGCAACATGTCATCACCGCAACATTCAGCGTTTACCAAAAACACAACGTTCTTGCCACGCAAGTCAGTCATTGCCGCAACCAATTCGCTGTCGACATGGGCGTCGGGGTAATAGACGGTTGAAGCAGTGCGAAGGACAACGTCCTGCTTGCCGCGCGACATGAGCTGCAGGAATTGCTGATTGGGATCCTCTGCCACAAAGCCAATGCTGTACATTTCAGCAGGGCGGCCAGGGCGAACGGCCACACGCCAAACACCCGGAGACAGTTGGAGTTGAAAGTAGCCCATGGTTTCCATCACAACAGTGTCTTTTGCCTTGGCCGCGCCATCCGCAACAAGCGGCTCGGCAATCAACTGCAGACCACGCGGAGCAGCACCAGATTGCTCAAAGCAAGATCCTGCACACAAAACAGATACAACCATGATTGTTTTAGCGCAAAATTAATTCGAAGAAATGCCCTGGTCTCCCTAGTTGACATCTGTTCCCCACACAAGTCCGCCTTCGTACCTTGAATGAGCAAGTGCTCGAGCTCAAAAACGGCAGTGACAGCAGTCTTAACGTCCGAGAGACGAATGTTGTCCAAGTCGTAACTGCAAGAGACCGAGCCAATCAGCCAGGCGTTCGGCGTGTCGACCGCCAGCGTGTACAAGGGAGCGGTTGGCAGTCCAGAAAAGTGCGCAGCAGGGACGTTGGACATTCTGCGGGCAAAGTGTCACCAGAGCAGAGTGTTAAACTTTTGGCAAGTGGAGCAAGCGAGAAGCAGCACCCACCAGAAGGCATACCTGTGTTGAGCGTCAAACACAACGCGAGGATCCAAGACCATGCGGTAGTATCGGTTGACTTTGATGGCGTCAATCTTGTGAACCGGAGTGAGGATGATTCGCATGGTCACTGGCAAGGCATCACGAATTGTCTATGCACGACAAATGCAAGTCAGGCAAGGGAGGAGAGCATGCCACGTAGACCCAAGCACACTCGTGAGAGAATCGTACATGCAACAACGGAACCAGGCGCTGAGCTTCTTGAGAGAGTGGATCTACGAGAGCAACCACGTGGAACTTTGGAAGCACCGGGTCGGCAATGACGGAGCTCGTTTCGATCGCGCTTTACAACCAAAACAGGTGAGCAACCAAAAAGCCACGTGCCTCTCTCACAGTCTGCGCGGCCTACATACCCTGGGGCAGCAGACACGTGACCAATAATGCGCGAGCGTTCACCCTTGAAGCTGCCGAGGACGGCGTGGGCTCGGATGAGCAGAATGGACCTACCAAACAAAAAAAAAAAAGAGGATTTCTTACAACAATGTGATTTCTCATCTCTGCCAACACCCCCCGTAATGTGAAATCACACCACATTCTCTCCGCGCTTACTTGTCCTGCGAAGTAGTGAGGCCGTTGACAACAGATGTGAGTTGCCGAACGGATTCGCGAGTTTGGTTCTCCTCGATTAGCTTGAAATCATGCCAAGAGAGGCGATCTGCGCTCGAGATGGGTCCATAAATCTAAGAAAAAGCAGCACAAGACTCGCAGTTGAGTTGTCTCACCGAAGCAACAGCGCTTCAAACACACGAGCTGTAACATACCCGGCCGTTCGTCACAATCACAGTCGTGCCAGCACTCGTGTCGAACATGCCTTGCACGTGAGCATTGTTGCTCAACAGGCCTGCACGGAAGGTAGCATCATCCAACGACTCAAACACCTTGGCGAAGACATCCGGCTTGCTGTTCTTGACCTTGCTCAGCAGGGAGACTGCCTCGGGCAATGTATGGGCAATTTCCGCGGCTCCACCAAGCTGCTCATGCAAGCGTTGGAAGAGGATCATTGCAAACTCGCCAGCAACGACCGGCGCCTGCGACTGCGACACCGCTTGCATCACGAGCCCCCAGAAAACGGTGACTTGGTCAACATCGCCCCGCGAAGGGTTGAGCAAGACTGCCATGCGGGAGGACTTGCGAGCCTGAATCATGTCAAAGTAGTGGCAAGAAAACACCACACACACAAAAAAAAATCAGCACGCAAAAGTCAACATGGGCATGGTCAATGTCATTCCAATGTCTTACATGGCCAGTCGAAAGGTAGGTGAAGGCCTGTCTGAGCAGCCGAAGATTGTGTTCTGCAACAAAATCGGAAACTACCAGGAGGTGGCTGAACGATGTCGCTCCAGTATGCTCCACTGCAAACACACACGGCAAAAAGCAAAGAGTGTGTCAAGTCAGACACGTCAAAAAAAGAGAAAAAACAAAAAAACAAAAAACAAAAACAACAAACTACCTGCCTCAAACCCCCCCCCCCACCAAAGGACTCTGCACCCTACCTTCGTTGCGATACAGCCAACGGACAGACGCAAGGAAATGCTCCGCTGCGGTTGTCTCGTACGAGGCAAAGCGAATGGACGCCTCGTCAGTGGGAATCACGCGCAGCGACAAACGGGCCATGGCTTGGTTCTTTGACAGGGCGTGTGCGTACATGTCGGTCTGCTCGTGGACGACACGGTGGTGAATGTCCATCAAGATGGGGTAAAGTTGTTGGAAGTAGTCCTGGTGCATCTGCCCAGGCGCATCGACCATGTCAAACGGCCGGTAGACGCCATTGAGGAAGGTGGCAGGGTACTGGTAGATGCCGCGTTGGTTGACCATGTCATTCCAGTCGCCGATGGCTTGATTGTACCCAGAAGTGGGAAGAATGACGGTATCAAACTCTTCAGAGTCAAAGCCCATCTCCTCATACCGAGCGCGAACTGCCTTCAAGGAGACAGCCTGGTCTTGGCGGGCCGTTGGATTGATCTTTGGTGCAAAAACGGAACAAGAACAGGTTGAGTTGAAGCTATTCAACGAAGAGCTCAAGGGGAAACACAAAAACAAAACAAAACCCTAAACAAACACACACACACACACACACAAAAAAGCAAAGGCATACAAAACCCCCTGAGATCGTCGTACCGAATGCAGGAAGCGCATCGCAGCCAAGCGGTCGTGTTCGTCAAGTGCATGCAAGAAGAGGCGAAGAATCACCTCCAAAAGACTACCAACATGCCCTTTGCCAAGAGAAACCTCCTCGCGCATTGCGATTGAAAATGGACTCGAGTTTGGTCCAAGGAGCTCGTTACCAGACACAAAAACGACTCCAAAGCGAACGGGCGTCATACGGGCAACGGCGTCAATCAGCTGGGCGATGCCAATGTAACTGGTGGGAGAGGAGAGATCTGCGACAAAAAGGTAGTGGAACACGTTCTTGCGCACATACTTCATCTGACCAGGGTACGATGGGCGCAACATCTAGAGTGCAAGCAAGCCAAGCAACCCATTCGTGAGATGAGTGAAGGCACAAGAAAGCAAAGCACAAAATCCGGAAAACAAAATGCCCAAAAATGTTCCACTTACATCTCTCAAGAGTGGTGGAAACCTCGCATACACGTCATCTCGTTCCAAATTGTTAATCCAGATGACGGCGGGGGAGTTGACGTCGACCGCTACAACGGGAACGGGTTGCGGACGCACGCCCAGATGCACCAAGCTGACAATTTGCTCGGAGGGAACACCAATCCGCAGGAGCTGGTTGTATGCCCGTGTTTCGGCATCAAACCTGTCCAGAATACTGTAGAATGCAATGGTGCAACGTGAGTGACGGACAATACACACCAACATAGATACACACACACACACTCAAAAAAAAAATCGCTGCCAACCAGGCGAAGGATTAAGGAGCAGACAACCATAAGTTGACAGCAATGTACAACAGAAATCAAAACAAAACGTACGTGAAAACATCCTCATCCAGAGGAATGGACAGGCCGTTCAGAAACAGGGCGGAAGTCCCCTGCCCAAAACCAAGCTGACCAACCTTGGAGCTGCCGGCGATAATAACATCCTGGACGGTAGAATTGAGCTTCATGCGAGAGAGCGGGCGGTACATGGAGGGCATGTTGCGCGCAATGTCGAGGAGCGACGCCAGCGGGTCTTGCGACTGCAAAACCGTCTGACTCGCTTGAAGCCCAAGCTCTGCCAGTTCCCACTGCTTGAGCTCGGTGAGAGTATTAATCTCCTTCCACATGTGTTCCCGCAGCTTGACAAGGTCGGCCTGCGAATCTGGGTAAATTTCGCGAAGTCGCCCAAACAGAAAGCCGCCGAGCTCGTCCGATGTTTCAATTCCGGAGAGATCGCTCTGCTTGTGCAGCGCTGCATCCACACAATCCGCAAACGGTGAGAAAAAAAATACATGGTTGTTTTCTTTTGTCTTCAATATATCGGTTCAAAACAAATCCAGCAGTTACCTTCAGAGATTTTACTGTCATCCACGGCCTTGTACTCGAGACTCTTGATTGCCAGCTCAACGCCATAGCCGCTGAGCTGGGCAGGCTGCGAAGAGGCGCGTGTCACTGATGCTGTCGTAGAAGCAAGGGTGGAAGGGGCGAGATGGCGGAAGACGAGCTGAATCTGGCCATTGTTGGCGAGTTCACGCAGCCGGGTAGAGAAGGCGCCCAGCAGCTGCGACTCAAAAGAGGCATACAAGATGATTGTCATGATCGGGGCAGAGGCACCACGGGCAGCTGGAAAGACGTGATCCGATGGAAAAATGGTATCAGCAACACTATGTGAATTGAAATTGGAAAGTTTCCGTGTGAGTGCAGCCTTTTGCAAGCAACAACACCCTCCTTCTCCCCAGCAAGTGCACACTACTCATTGAATGAACATCCAATGGGTTTTGTGGTTTTGTGTTGGGGCTTGTACCTTGCAGCGAGAGCATTGGGTGCGTTTGTGCTGCCGAGCAGGAGCGCATCGAGATCAGCAATCCGGCATGCAATGCCGACACCTGGGCGCACGACCGCAAGATCGTGGTCGCATGGGTTGCGAGGAGCCGTGTCCGCGCCAGAGTCGGCCCGGTTGATGACGGCAGCAAAGTGTGAGCTGGCAAGCTGGAACTGAGTGTCGACAGCGACCGAGTAGTAGCGCATCGCCAGAGCAAACTCCATGACGGCAATCTCGGTGAGCGTGATGTGCTCACTTGCTGCGTGCACAAGCGCAGCGTACATTGCGCGATCAGTTGGAGCAGCGCCGGTTGAGGATGAAGGGGCAGCGAAGGGCAGTCGCACAGTGGTATCGAGAAACTCCCAGAACTTGCCAGCGCGTGCCATGTACTCACTGCATCAGAGAGAAAGACAGACAAAAACCAGACAGCCAGGTCAGTCGTGGAACGGCGGAAGAAGAGTTGAAAACGCGCGCGCGAGCGAGATCTCCAACTGAAACTGCATTGAAACGCCGACCGACGTGAGTTGGCGTGAGTGGGTGGGTGAGTGAGAACGAGGGGGAGGGGGGAGGCTACCTGGCTTCTGCAATCAGCGGCGTGGCATGCCACTTGGCACGCAGGGTGAGGTGCACGGGCGGACTGGCGGACGACGCGCAGGATGTTGCTGGAGCGAGCAGCAGCAGCAGCGGAAGCAGCACCGCCACGAGCCGTCGCATTGTGTGAATCTTGGAGTGGCGCATTTTTGATTTTAGATATGCGCTTTTTATAATTACACGAGAGAGGGAGAGGGAGAGGGAGAGATGCAAACAGACGGAATGGCAAAACAAAGCACAAATCGAGTCTTCTTCTCAGCTCAACTCTGCCTCTTCTTTAACATCTTGCTTGGCTTCCGCTTTGAGAGCAGCCGGTTGCCTTCTCATCTTGAAAATCTCCTTTGGCCTGCCTCTTGATGGTGTCTACCCGACTCGTCCCGTTGCACAGCAAGAGAAGCGATACAGGCATCCAAATTGCTGCATCGCTGTTCAACTTGTTTGACCTTCAGCTCAGATACCAAAATCACTCAAACACACACCACACACACACACACACACACACACACACACACACACACACACACACACACACACACACACACACACAAACACACAAAACAAACGCCCGTCCAAGCGATACATGTATCCTGTGTGACGGAAATTTCAAACACCCAAAACAACCTGATTTTCGCCTGATTTTTTTTCCTCCACTGGTTTCTCCCCTCATTTTAAACATACTCTGTCAATCAACAACAGCACCAAACCAACAAGAGCCAAATTCAAGTGATGGATCATGCGCAGAACAGTCTGGCTGTGTGTGTGCGCCAGTCTTTTCTCCCCTTAGCGTAGCCGTGTAAGCCACTCACATTTATGGCAACAAACTGCGATTTTTTTAACCGTTTTCTTTTTTTCATTTTCATTTTTTTTTTTTCGTTTCTTTTCGACTTTTGCGCGACTTTTGCTGGACGAGGTGGAAGTAGTCTGCCTTCTCCTGCTTTGGTCGCCTTGTTTACCGTGTGTTGAGCGACGATGCGCAGTGTGAGATGCGCCGCTCTTTGGAGTAACCTACTAAAAAAAAAAATAAAAAAAAATAACAAGTGCTTGATCCCTCAACGAATCGCTTGAAGCTTGCTTCGAGGGCGGTTCGAGTGCCGAGACGACCAGGAGCGGAAGGACCAGCTCGGCATCGTCTGATCAGCACGCGCCATTGCGCTCTGGCCCCGTCGTGGGGAGTACGCGTTGTCGCAGACTTAAACAAAAAATAGAAAAAAAATAGAAAATAATCGAAAATGTGTCTACCGTTGTTCAACCACAACCACCTCACAGCGGTGCCATCCGTCCCGCAACAACGCCTGCGACGCGGCCAGTGTGTGAGCTGGCTAAGTTTGGTGCAGCAGATCGCGGCTCGGTGCGTGGTTGGGCTGGGTTGAGCCACGGAAGGGGCGAGCAACCGCAAGAGTTGGAAGAGTCGCCCACACGCAGACAAAATAACTCAAAAACATTTAAAAATAATTCAAACATGACCAAAACCGGGTTAAATTCGATTAGGCTGCAGGTTTTTGTGGAAGGTCATCCAAAACCCGATCAAATTCGAATTGTCTGAGATTTGTTGAATAGTTCCGTACTCACTCTGACACACACACACGCACGCCAACTACTACAACAACACAGGTATTGAGCAAATCGAGCTTTATTCTCAGTCGACCAATCGGTTCTCTCCCGCGCCCATGCAGTCCTATCCTCCTCCTCCGTTTCCGCACTATGGAGCGCCGTACGGATACCCGCCGAACTATCCTCCATACCCATACCCCTATTGGAGCGCGCCACACACATCATACTTCCAACCTCCTCCACCACCACCACCACCTCTGCCGCCTCATTTTCCATTGCCGTCATCGCAGCAGTATTTTCAGCCGCACACGCAGCCTCAACTACCACTAGCACCACAGCCAGTACCACCGCCAGCAACAATGCCAACAGTGCCCCCAACGAAAGAGAAAACGCGCAAGGTGGGCCATTTCACGGAAGTCACCTTTGAAGCAGGCGTGGCCCACAGCAAGTCCCTCACGCCTTCTCTGATTGCCAAGAAACCACGCAAAAAACGCCAATCCGCAAAGGCGAAACGCCCTGCCTCAGACGCCAAGCAGCCCAAGCAGCCCAAGCAGCCCAAGCAGCCCAAGCAGTCCAAGCCGCTTGTGTTCAAAGAATCCACGCTGTCGCCCTCAGAGCTGTCTTTCCGTACTGCTCCACTCCCGTTTGACGGGTTTCACAAGCCAGATCATATCACGACTCTCTTATTCAAACGGGCTGGAACCGAACCAGAATTGGTGTTTAACGAACGACTCTCTCGCCTCGGCAAGAAACTCATCCGCGCCAACATTGGCTTTCTCTACTCTGCCCGCACCATCCAGCGATGGACTGACGGCCGCCTGTGGTCCAAAGCTTACATCACGAAAGCCGGATGGAAGGTATATCGTGAGGTCGAAATCCTTGAAGACAAGGGCTCGACCAAACCGCCCAAAGCCCGCACTCTCGCTGGCGGCCTGTACAAGAAGGTGCTCTCAGGTCCAGAGCCGGACTCGGAACTTCGTTTAGTCATTTATACACGTACTGCGCCAGATGTGCGATGTACACTCGTCGCACCAGTCAAGGATCCGACAGCGGGACATTCGGAACCATCGGATGAAGAAGAGCTTGATGAGCTTGATGATGAGACGCCCGACTCGTAAGAGGTGATTACACTGAATTTGCTTGTATTATTATTACAACATGAGAAAACAAAGCGCACTTGTCGAGAAACAGTTTTGAGCACACAATTTGTTGTTTTCAAGTTAGCACTGTACATTAATTTAACACAAACTCTGCAAGTAGTGCAGACAGAATCGAAAAAAAAACCACCAAGCCAAACTACTCAAAGGCTGCTGCAACTCGGAAACCGCACGAACAGGACATGAAACATCGCCACTTCCAAAAAAAAAAAAACCGCATGAACAGATAATTTGTTGTGTAGTGTGTTTTTAGATTTGAATCAGCACGGAATCTTGGTGCTTGGATGAATTCCTTGGGTTGAGCAGCTGGTAGACAATTCCGGGCTTGGTCGCTACTTGGTGGTGCGGGAGAGCGGGGCTGTGGCGGTTGCAGCCGGCGCGCGTCTTGAGCAGGTTCCACCGCACCACAAACAGGCAAGTCATGTACACGCTGACACCCAGTCCAGATACTGCCAAAATAAGAATATAGCCCGTCACTTCGAGCTGGTGCTGTTCAGCGGCGCGCAATGCCCCGTCACCAGCGCCGCACAGGACAGTGCCAGCCATGACCAGCATCGTGCCAGTGACATGGGCTCCCCGAAGGGATTTGCATGACATGAACAAGCGGCCAATGCCGGCAAGAGAAAGAAGGGCGGCAAACGTTGCATACACGTCCGAGCTGTAGGTGGTTGGAGACCATAGGAAGAGGCGGACTGTGGCGGTTGAAAGGAGCGCGATGGTGGGGAAGATGTTTGGCGAGTGGCTGTTGCCCATTGCCGCTCGCCCGAGGCGCGAGGTAAAGAGCAAGCCGCCCAGACCGGCAATCACAAAGAATGCTCCAGTGCCAACGTTGCTAATGTCGGTCTCGTTCCAGGCCGTTTCGAAAAAGTGGTACGGCCATCCGTGTTGTGTGACAACGAGAATAACGCCAATCACCAAGCCAGCGCAGGCCTCTCGGAACTCGAACGCACGGGTCTGAATGCGCGAAGACAAGGATCAAAAAGAGCAAGCCGAGCAAGAAGAGCAAGAGGAACAACAAGAGCAAGCATGTGTGAGAGCTGGAGCAGGGGCAAACGCATGCACCAAAACCCAAGAGTCAACCGCGTACCTTGACAGCATTCAGAGAAAGGGCAATGCATGCCACGCCGTACAGCACAAAGGCAAGACCAAAGACAATATGCGAGGCTCCATTTCCAAACGCACGGCCCGAGCAGACTTCGGTCAGCGCGGACATGTAGGTCAGGGTAATTCCGACGGCATTGCAGAGAAGCGTCCATTGCAGCGCTTCCTCGAGCTGCCAAGAAAACCACCAAATATTTGCTGCAGTCTTTCGGGCAATGCGAGCCAGGCATGAGTCGTGCGGCCGGTGTGACTCGAGATTGAAATTAGGACAGCAACATTCGCCAGCCAAGCGCAAGCTCCCGCGGATGGCGGACACGCCAATCGAGGCAATGCACATGCACATGTTGATCCAAGCGAACTGAAGCATGAATAAAAGCGGAAGAGGATGCACAAAAAAAAAACGTGAGGATAGATCAACGCCAAGATCAACGTTCCGCGTCATCTCAGTGCCAATCAGCCTCATCAAACTCCATTCCAACTCAATCCAACTGTACCTTCAGGACGGTCACCCATTCGATCGTGCCAGAGCCGCCGCTGAGCCGAATGCAGGCAATCATGGTGATGATGGCACCCGCGATGCTGATGGCGGTTGACAGTTTCCACGACCATCGGCGGAACACGAGAGCTGATCAAGCAGACGAACAAACCAACAAAACAACACAAAACTGAGACTTTGACAGTTTCACAAGCGACCATGGATGACAGACTACTCGACATTCGCTGCTGCACATCAGCTTGATTCACTCGCGTCCACAGACACACGCATCTTGTTTTTGATTTTAATTTTTTTGATCGAGTGTGAGAATGGCGCGGTACGCGTTATTATTTTGCGCCATCTTCTTTTTTGCCATTTAGTTTCTGCAAGAATATAAGCGCCTCCAGAGGGGTTTTTGTCTGGACTGCAGAACGGTATGGGTAGTACTCGATACGCGCGCGTCAGGAAAGGGGCGGGTGGATGTGCAATCAATTGGGTACAGCACAACAATCGAATTGCAAGTAGGAAGGATCGTCAAGAAGAACGCTTGGCGACCGTGCAAACAATCCACACACCCGAGTGGCACCCTTCAATCAAAGCTGCGCAGGTCACAGCAGAACGGACAAATGCTCGCTAGGGTTGCCAGCCACTTTTTAAAAATAGGGGGGGGGGAAGCGGTGGGGGCTCGATGTGGAGAGGATGGCGTGGAGAACAAGACGTACCGAACGGGATGAACACCAAGCCGCCCACAAGCAGCAGGCTGAAATTCACGGCGACACTCCGCATGGCTGCGTTGGCCTCAGCGGTCACTGGGTCGCCATACAGCTGAAACAAGTGCTCGCGCAGCTCTAGGTGCTCCTTGAATGGATTGACAATGATGCGGCGAGGGTATTCGAGCGGTGGCTGAGCGACATAGTCGACCAACTCAAGCGGAGATGACATGTTTTGAAAGTGAAGTTGCTGCTTCGGGAAAGAAACAAAGTAGAAAAATAAACGAGATGGAGGATGAGTAGAGTGAGAACAAGAAGATTTCGAAAAAAAGTGAGACTGACATGACAGGCTTAGCTTATTCTGAGTCGAAATTCAAGCTGCTTTTGGTGATGGTTTGGTTTGGAAACTCCAGTCCCCTTCTTCAAAGATCACCAAAAAAGTTCAGTCTCCTAATTTTTTTTGTGCCTTTGCCGAATACATTGTCGGTACGCTAAAATGGATACTGCGCAAGTACGAGAGGCCAAGGAGACGATGGACGGTAAGGTCGCGCGTTAAGACTTTCAGGAGAAAGAAGAAGCAGTCGAGGCAACCCTCCGCCAAACCTACGCAAAGCGCGGATCCCGTCTGGCATGACGGTCTTGCAGCTAGTCGAGCGTGTGCAGAGCAGGAGCACGAGTCTCTGACGGACGGGTCGCTGCTTCGTGCTTCGTGCTTGTGTGCTTTTTTTTTTGGCGGGAAATGCTCACGTCTCGCTTTGCTCATCATGCCAACTACTGTAGTGCTCTTTGAAATGTCCAAGCTACTCGACACGGGACTGGACCGCGAGACGCTGGCCATCTGCGTGTCGTTGTGCGAATCGGGCGTCAATCCTGAGGCGCTTGCTGCCGTGGTCAAGGAGCTGCGACGCGAGTCTCGCGCCGTGTCCGAACGATGACCCGTCTCTGGCGTGTTAAAACTAACGATGATGTAGATTTGCTTGATGTAGTTTTGATAGTGTGCGTTAATCTTAATTTGATAGTCTGGGGTTTTCCAAACGTGCAAAACCAACATGCACCGCTTTTTGCCGCTCTTCCCTCTTCCCCGCTTCACCCAAACACTGGATGGCTATCTCGTTCACCACCTTATCACAACAACTACAAGGACAACAACAGCAACAGCAACAACAACAGCGAGAACAGGTCGGCGTGAAGGACATTCGACGTTTAAACTAGTTAGCTATTGATACAAAACATGTGTGAGGGGGGGGGAGGGCCGCTATACATCAGCTTCCTCCTTGGAGCGTCGCAGACGGTCAACAATCTTTTGAACGCGCTCGTAAGAAGCAGAGCTCTCAAACTCGGACTCGAGGTCGGCAATATCGTTCCGGACCTTGGTCCAGGCGGCATCAATCCATTTGCTCTGTGAAGCTGAAGTTGCAACTGGCTCGGCGTCGTCTGCAGTGGAGGACGAGGGAGTGTCGGAGCTGGGAGTGAGACTGAGCAGCAGCGCATCCAGATCGACAGACGCATCGCTGCCAGAAGGAACGGCCGTGTCAACTTTTGCAAGCTGGGCCGAGGTTTGCAGCTTGAACGCTTCCTCAAAGCGTGCGCGCAAAAACCGCCGAAGCTCGGGCACTGTCATGGAGGCTGCGTTCTGCACGAGGAAGACCAGCGGGGTCATGCCAGAACTGGTGGAGACTGGCTGCGGGGCATCGGTGCCGACTGCTTGGATATCGTTGTTGTCGGCGAACAAATCCATGGCAGCCTGGCGTGGCGGCAGGATGTTTCGGGGCACGTTGAGATGGACGCCGGCCGAGTTGGACTGGCGGGAAACGAGCTCGTTCACGGTCAGAACGTGTGCCCGTAGTTGCTGCAGCGCGTCCGTGGACGAGACGGGGCTTTCGGAGGGGTCTGCTTCGTTGACGGCGCGAGCAAGCTCCTCAGAGAAGGCCGCACGATCAAAGCCGAGACTCTTGACAAAGTCTTCTACAATCATTGAGCCGGTGGAGCTAAACACTTGCTGCGCGGTGGCCTCGACGGTGGCTCGGTCGGGCGGATAGAAAAACTCTTGCTTCTCGCCAGACAAGCGCGCAGCCGGCACCATAGAGCGCACTAGATTGAGGCGGCCGCCGCCGCCAGCGGTGCGCACCAACGGGACGGGGAGCGTCGACACTGGGGTCAGATCCTTGATGGGATCTCCCGAGGCGACACGCGCGCACGCACGGCGCTTCTGCTGCTTCCACAAGTCGGGCGTGCGGAAGAGCTGATAGCGTGCAACCGATTGATGTGCCTTGAGCCACGACTCGAGCACTGGCACGGCCAGCGTGGAAACGTGCATGTTGATCGTAAAGCGACGGGCAGTCAAGTGGCTCGATCCAAGCCCACGCATGCGATACGGCAACAGCTCCAAGCCAAAGTGTTTGAAGCTCAGCACCGAGCCGCCATCCTTGTGCACAGTGGCGAACAACTGAGCGCACAAGCTCATGATGTCGTGCTGGAAACCAGAGGTGAAAAATCAAAAGGGTGAGCAAGGAGTGAGCGTGAGACAACACTGGCAATCCGGCGGTGGTGGGTTGATGTTTGATGGAAGAGAGAGAGAGAGAGAGAGAGAGAGAGAGAGAGAGAGTTGCGAGGCGGTATGGAGATAGGAATGGCAGGAGAGAGAGAGAAAGATGGAGAGATGGAAGAAGGCGAGATCGCACAAAAATCCGCGTGCATTGAAGACCGACGCGCGGACGCCGCCAAGCGAGACCAACCAAGGTGAAGGACGGGGATGGCTGGGATTGGCCCCCCTGAGTCAATGAATCAGACAGGAGCGACGCAGGACAGGCGAGCGCTTCAACGAGAGTAGGATTGCCAAACCATGAGGACAACGTAGCGGTTCCCTCTCTCTCTCCCTCGTCCCGAAAACAGCATCCCCTTGTCCATTGTGGTGCTGACGGCTGGACTATTGTGCGAGTGTTGAGCGGGGCGTTGGCCGATTGGAGGCTGCACACAAACCTTCTTGCACTGGCGCATCATGAACATGGCTTCGTAGGTCGGCATGGCTGAGATGGAACAAAACCAAAAAATGAACAAAAGACTGAATTGAAGCACTCAAACTGGCAATGGTTGACGAGATTCCATGAAGTTCGATCAGGTTCCAGCTTTCGGTGCAGCCTGAGTGAGAGGAAGCGCTCGCACTGCTGTTTTGCATTACAGTTTGGTCTCTACCGGCCTGAGGTTGGATCTGGGAGGCGCTCCTTCCTGCGTGCTCATCGTCCAAGGATGCCCGCATTTTCAAGCCGAGCAGTTGGATTTTTCAGGGTTGAATGCATGCTGGAGGGGTTTGGATTGCATTGTCACACAGTTTTCATTGGTCGTGAAGGAAACAACCGTACTTCAAGAAAAAAGAAAAAAAAAATAGACCAACAATCAACAACAAAAAAACACTTAAAACCGCAACAAAAAGGCAGTTTAGATCGCGATTTTTGCCCAGCGTTGTGCTGCGCGCCCCGGCACCAGGGTGACACCTTGGACGTGGGGTGCGGCTCGAGTGCTACTCACACTCCTGTTGAGTGAAGGTTGCACGAGAACGAGCTCCTCTCGACGCACGAAAGCACAGTTGAACAAGTAAAAAAAAAAAGAAAAAAAAAAAAACAAAAGAAAGCGGTTTTGCTGTTGTTTCGTATTTTGTGTTTTTGTTTTTTTTTGTTTTTGCTTCCTCTCGTCGCCGTGCTGTCGTCCTCCAGCAAAGCAGAAAATGGCATGACGAGATGCAAGCTTGCATATTCCATCTACCTCGACCAACAACATCCCAATGTGCTTTTTGACTCAAATATCAAACACATCCGCCGCATTTGGAACGCAGCTCACTCCACCAAAAACACAAACCCCAAATACACAATGTCCTGGCAAGCGTACGTCGACACCAACCTCCTTGGCACCAAGCTCGTCTCCAAGGCCGCCATCCACGGCCTCGACGGCAACCCGTGGGCCACCTCTGCCGGCTTCAAGGTACGCTCGCTCTTCTGCAAACTGAAACAAGCTTTTTTTTTTCTTTTTTTTTCCGTTGCTTTTTTTTTTTTTTTTTTTTGTGCCTTTCTTCCGTGCTTGGCCGTTTGTCACTGTCTTCGCCTTCGCCCCCTGTTTCTCTTTCTCCTTTGCCCTCTTCATTTGGGTCAACTACATGCTTTGCGTGAGCGTCTGCTCGCTCTGCAAGTGCGCTGCTGGCTCACCTAAAAAGTGCGCAACGCGAAGATAGATTGAATTTTTTTCACATTTTTTTTTTCGTTTCCTCTTCTTCTCGAGCCGCTTGGTTGGCTGCTGCTGCTGCTGCTTGCTGCTTGCCGACTTTCAGCACAAACAAGCGCCTTCTCTTGCTCGCTGCCTCGAGTCGCGAACGACGGCGGCACTGCCTTGCACTGTGCAGGCGACTGGACTTTTTTTTTTTTGAATACTGCGATCGTACGATCTTGCTTTTTTTTTTTTTCATTTTGCCGTGACTGACGAGGAGGCGAGCAAAAGCGCTGTGGTTTCAACCCCACCACTTGTTGCGTTCTGCAAAACACTTCGAGGCATGCGCCAACCCTCCACCCGTCGCTCTTTGCTCGTGTGATTGTGGCCCGTTCTCGAACAAGCAGCGTTTTTTAATATTTTTTTTTATTTAAAGCGAAAAAAAACACAAACAACAAACAAACAACCAAAAAGAGCAATCATATTGTTTTTTATTTTTATTTTTTATTTTTTCCTCTTCTGGCGTCTTTTGCTGTGCGCTGCTCGCGTTGTTGGGCGCCGCCGTTTGCCACGATGCAGCTGCAAAGCTAAGTTGCGCCTGCGCAAAAACAGCTGTGAAGCGAGCACAGAGGTGGAGCACCATTCCCCACAGTCGATTTTTTTTTGTATTTTTTTTTTTTTTTGATTTCATCGTACTTTTTCGATCTTGAAAAATGCATCTTGCTGGCGCCTTGTCACAACACTTTGGAGGTGGATGTGTTTGACTGCCCACGCGAGTCTTTGGACATCAAGACCTTGTTCTTGGGTGCTTGTGGTCGTGCCATTCCTCTGCATTGCAACACCACCTTGTGATTGTTTGTTGGTCGACCAGCAGCAAATCAAAAAGGAGGGCAGTGTTCGAGGGGTTTTTTTTTTTGTCTTCCCTCTTTGCTTTTCTTCTTCCTGTTCTTCTTCTGTCCTTGCCGACCGTCTTTCCTTGCTTTTTCGCGTTGCCTTGCCGTCAAACCGCAGCATGGCATTGCTTTCCTTGGTCGGATTCCGTTGTTTGAACTGTGCACTAGCTGGATTTCTGTTGCTCACTTTGTCTGCCCCTTCCTTCCTCTGCTCCTCTTCTCCAACAACAGGTCGACAAGGCTGAGGCTGCTGCCCTCGTCGCTGCTATCGGCAAGAAGGAGCCCAGCGACCTCTACGCTTCCGGCATCAAGCTTGGCGGCCAAAAGTTCACTTTCCTCCGCCACGAGCAGAACCGCTCGGTCTACGGCCGCAAGGGCGCTGACTCTGGCTGCTGCGTCGTCAAGACCAAGCAGGCCATCGTTATCGGTGTCTTCGAAGGTGGCATCCAGCCCGGCCAGTGCAACTCTGTTGTCGAGCGTCTTGCTGACTACCTCATTGAGAACCAATACTAAGCTGCTTTCATGAGGATCCCAGCAACCATTGTTTGAGCGCCCCCCTGATTTGCCTGCGGTTTTTTTTCATCTGTCCGTTTTTGTTGCTTGCCAATTGAAAATGAACGGATTTGTCCATTTATCACATTCTCTTGAGCATTTCGTTTGTATTTCCACTTGTGCTATGGTACGGTGAATGTTGAGCAATGTCTATCGAGATGTGACAATGGCGGGGTGGATAATCGAGAGCGTGTTATTCGAGGCAACGAAAGTCGGCAACAAAAACGATGGAACGTGATTCAACCCATTCAACAGAGCAAAGTAGAGGTGTTCTGCCACCTCGCTGCCTTTTACAATCCTGGTCGGAAGGGAGTCCGACGAGGCGTTGCGGCAACGGCGCGACCAGGAGTGAATATTTTGCCACTACAACAGACACACCCACACACCAACCGATTGAAAAAGTCAGCTTGCAGAGAATTTCAAAGCCCACATCCGTTACTGTTTTCTCGCATTCCTAACCTTTGCTTGTTCATTGCTGCACGTCGTTGCTCTTCCGCGCTTGAACACGATCCTTCATGGCTTGCTTGGCAGCG